TTCTTTTTTTTTTTTTTTTTTAAAGAGAGAGGTGGGGGAGGGAGAGAGAGAGAGGAGAATGAGAATTTTAATATTTATTTTTCAGTTTTTGGCGGACACAACATCTTTGTATGTGGTGCTGAGGATCAAACCCGGGCCGCATGCATGCCAGGTGAGCGCGCTACCGCTTGAGCCACATCCCCAGCCTCTGCTCTTGTTTTTTTATATTTGTCTCAAGTAGTGGAGAATCTTCATGCCTGCCTGTATTTCTCTCTTTCTCTGAGGATTGGCCTGTTTCTGAATCTCAGCTTCTGGGCTGGTACTTTCTGGATCCATCTCTGACTGACTCAATTTTTCTCCTCCTCTCCCTTGGTTCCTTCATCTTTTTGTTTTTCTCTACATTTGTTTCTCTCTCTCTCACTCTCTCTATCTGTTTTTGACACTGGGGATTGAACTCAAAGGCACTTAACCACTTAGCTACATCCCCACCCCTTTTATTTTTTATTTATTTACTTATTTTTATGTGGTGCTAAGAATTGAATCCAGTGCCTCACACATGCTAGGCAAGCAAGCGCTCTACCACTTAGCCATTATATTTTATTTTTATTTTTTTAAATATTTTTTTCAGTTGCAGGTGGACACAATACCTTTATTTTATTTATTTATATTGGTGCTGAGGATTGAACCTGGTGCCTCATATATGCTAGGTGAGTGCTCTACGCTGAGCCACAACCCCAGCGCCCCCATTATTTTTTATTTTGAGACAAGATCTCACTAAGTTTCGCAGGGCTTCCCAAAGTGCTGAGTCTGGCTTTGAATTTGCAATCCTCCTGCCTCAGTCTCCCAAGTTACTGGGATTACTACAGGAATGTGTCAGCACACCTATTTTTTTTTTCAGTGTTGTAGGTTCAAACCCAGGTTTTGGGGCATGCTAGGCAAGCACTGACTATAACCCCAAGCCCCTGAGTCTGCTTTTCTCTTGTACTGTCTCTGTCTTGTTTGTCCCTCCAGGAATGTCTCTGGTGCCCTCTTTCTTCCTCTTTCCAGCCCCTCTCCCTCTCATCCTTTAAGAAATACTCTATAAGTTCCATCCCCAGCACCACACTCACTCACTCACTCACACACACACACATACACAAAGACTCTGGGCTGGAGAATCTCACTCTGGGCCAGCCCTGCTCTCCAGACTTCACCAACTCCACCCTCTGTGGCAAGGTAAAGCAATGCTCCTTTGAACTTTGGACACCAGACCCTGTACTGCCAGAGAAACTGAGGCAACTGTGAGCTCCCTCTATCCCTTTGCAGGTTCAGGGCCAACCTCAGCAATTTAGGCCCTGAGCAACTTAAAGAGACCCAGTCTCCAAAAAAAGAGTTGGGGATGTGGCTCAGTGGTAAAGCACCCATGGATTCAATCCTCAGCACTAAAAAATAAATAATGGGGGTAAGTCTGTGTGGGAGGGAGGAGACAACCAATGCTGGGGTTTCTCAGRTGGACTGATGATGGAGAATTCTGTGAGGACAGGGCTGACTTTGGGGAGTAAAGAGATTACGTGGAGAATTCTAGAGAAAGGGAGATTCTAGAGATCCTGAACAGGGGCATTATATGGGAAAAAATTATCAGGGAAACAACTGTTGGGGAAAGGAGACTCCAAAGGGTTAGAAATTCTGGAGAAGGCTGGCATAGTGACACACATCTGTAATTCGAGAGACTCAAGGGTGAGGGAGTCTCAGGCCAGAGGATCCCAAACTCTAAGCCAGACTCATCAATTTAGCAAAGCCCTAAGCAATTTAGCGAAGCCCTATGCAACTTAGCGAGAACTTGCTTTAGAATTTAAAAAATAAACAAACAGGGCTGGGGATACAGCTCAGTGGTAAAGCATCCTGAGTGCAATCCCTAGTGCCAAATAATTAAATAAACAAAAAGAAAAACAATTCTGGGGAAAGGTAGATTTGAAGAGGGGACTCAGAGATTTTGTAAACGGGGATTCTGGGGCAAGTACCCTGGGAAAAGTGGGTTCTSCTAGGAAAGGGAGTTTCTGGAGGGGGAACTCCAGGAGTGGGTCCTGAAGAAAGGAGGACGCTGGGAAGAATGACTGCTGGGAAGAGGGCCCGGAGTGGAGGGAGACTGGGGAAAAAGAGAAGTCCAAGGTGAGGGTTCTCAGGAGGGATCTGAAAGTGAACCTCTTAAAAGGCTTCTGGGAAGTCTGGGTTCCGGGGAAGAGGAGATTCTGGAAGGAAAGAAGTTCTGGTGAAAGTCGGGTTCTGGAGGAGTGACCCCTGACGTGGGGTTCTGGGAGAGAACTCTCAAAGAAGGTGGGTTCTGGGGCTAAGATTCTGGGAATCCAGCTTGATTTCTCGTGCAGGATTCCAGGGAAGACTGTTGGGGAGGGGGGCTGGAACATGGCCGGTGGTGGGAGAGTAAGAATAGAAACAGAGAGGGGCGGAGGGAGACCGAGAACTGACGCAAACTCATCACCCTCCCTCTAGGCTTCTCGCTCGGCAGGCTACGCTCCCCGGCCCCGCCTCTTCCACCTCTCAGGCTCCGCCTTCCCCTTGCTGTGAGGAGGCTGGGTCTCCCGCAMCTTATCAGAGGCCCCGCCCCCGGCWTGACGTCAGCCGTAAAGCTTCCAACTGTCGCGACGTGGCGTTTAGAGCGCCTGCGCAGACCCTGAAAAGTGGCCTGGGTGACCCCCATGCTTCCCTTTTCCGGTTGCAGCACCGCGCGGTGAGGACTGCTCTCTACGCTCGCAGCCATGCCGGCCAAGGGTCCACTTCAGTCCGTACAAGTCTTCGGACGCAAGGTAGGCTAGGCGCTGGGTGGGTGGGGTCAGGGGAGGCCCGGGTCTGTGAGAGGCCAGTTGGGCAAGGGTTGGGGTCTCCTTGGGAGCCAGGACCCAAAGCTCATACGCCGATCTGGCTCCCTCGTTTTCCACAGAAGACGGCCACAGCCGTGGCGCACTGCAAACGGGGCAACGGCCTTATCAAGGTGAATGGGCGTCCGCTGGAGATGATCGAGCCGCGCACGCTGCAATACAAGGTACTGGGATTGGGGATGGGCGTCGAGTGGAGCGGGTTCATTTTGGAGACGGAGATGTTACCGATCTTGGAAGCGGAGTGAGCTAGCATTGTTAGAGCAAGATTTAGGCACTGAGTTTGGGGCATAAAAATGGGATACTTATTAATAGAGCCGGGCTTGGGTTTCAAAAATATAAAAGCTGAGTTTGGAAAGTGAAAACGTGGGTGTAGAAGGTCCAGGGAGTGCTTTGTAAACTGGGATATTTTTCCAGGTGGCAACAGGAATACTAGAGTTTATGCGTCCTGGTTGTAGGTTTTCCTTCCTTAGAAAATCTAAGGAAGGGTCAGTGTTTTGTATCTGATAAATCTCAAGTGTCTGAAGTAAGGTCTGGATGTAATACAATAGATACTAAGAACAGAAACCGAATTGGAGTGTGTTTAAACGCTCCGTGGTGAAAGGGGTTCTTCCACTTACTATTTAGAATTTTGGGGGCTAGCTCAGAAAGGAAAGTAATCTGAGCCTGGTGTCTAGTTATTTTACTTGAGGCAAGTTAGTAGATTTTTCTCTGCCTTGGGTTCATTTTCAGAAAAATGGATAATTTCTATTCTTAAGGATGATGAGGTCAAAATAAGATTCTCTGAGAAAGTTTTCTGGCATGTAAGATGTGTTGCTTTCTTCTTTTAAGTCAATTACTTTTAAAAGGAAGGAACATCCACATTGAATGGTGTCTGAGATTCATTTGTATAGCTGCTATCGAATATTGTAGGTTTTTTTTCCCCCTATGTACTGGGGATTGAACTCAGGGGTACTCAAATACTGAGCCACATCCCCAGCCCCGTTTTGTATTTTTTTATTTAGAGACAGGGTCTCAGTGAGTTGATGAGTGCCTCACTTTTTTTTCCTTTCTTTTTGGTGGTGCTGGGGATTGAACCCAGGACTTTATGCATGAGAGGCAAGCACTCTACCAACTGAGCTATATCCCCAGCCCCCTAGCGCCTAGCTTTTGTTGAGGCTGACTTTGAACTCAKYCTCTGGAGCTGCTGGGATTACAGGCATGCGCCATTGTGCCTGGCTGAATATTGTAGTTTATTGTTGGCTGTTGGTTTGTTTGAAGGATTTGTCTGTTACCTTTTATTGAATTTGGGGGACAGAGTAGTAACTCAGGTGCCTTCATGGAGCTCCCAGACTAGTGGGGAAGATAGGCTGGACTTAATATCAGAAACTGATCCAAAGTGGCCAGAGCTGGAATGTGGAGCACAGAGAAGGCTTGGGAAGGGGTGGAAAGAAGAGACCCAAGTAGGTAAAACAAACAGAATAAAAAGTGTCTAGCTGGGCCAAGGCACATACCTGTAATCCCAGCAACTTGGAAGCCTAAAGCAGGAGGATCACAAGTTTAAGGCCAACCTCAGCAACTTTGTAAGAGCCTGTCTCAGAATTAAAAGGACTGGGGATGTGGCTCAGTGGTACCCCTTGGTTCAACCTCTGCTGAATCTGTGAAGTCACCAGCTGAGGGAAAAGAACACAAATACAAACAAAAGTGTATAAATAGGCACTGGTGAAAACACCTACTAGAGTTGGGAAAGGAAGAATGTGGCAGAGTTCGCAGTGTAGTTGTAACTTCTTTGGAAATTGAGAATTCAGAAAAGCTACCTAAGTAGCTCTAGAAAGGTTTTCCATGGTTGGAAAACAGCCCTGGTAGTTGCCATAGAATGCTTCTTACTGTTCAGTATTCTAGGAACTCATCTTAAAGCGGGGATATCCGAGGTCCAGAGAGGGACACACAAAGGAAGGAGCTCAGATCAGTTTGCCTTTTCCTGTTTGTTGCAATTGTGTTAGTCTTCATGTGGTGCTGGGGATCGAACCCAGTGCCCCACGCATGCTAGGCACACGCTCTACCACTGAGCCACAAACCCAGCCCTTGTGTTAGTCTTCTATTTGGCCTTTTTGAATCTTTCTTCCTGGCTCTGTACAGAGGCCTTTGGTGACAACTGGATCTCCTTCCAGTAGAACTTTGAGGCTGGTGGTGGCAGAAGTAGGGAGAGAATGAATGCTCGGTGAGGTGGCTAAGCTGCTGAAGTTGTAACTTAAAAGCCCTGTTCATTTCCTCCTATTTCTCTAGTTACTGGAACCCGTTCTGCTTCTGGGCAAGGAGCGGTTTGCTGGCGTGGACATCCGGGTCCGTGTGAAGGGTGGTGGTCATGTGGCCCAGATTTATGGTGAGTCTCAGGATCAGGACACATGGGTATGAGGTGGCCCTGGTAGCAAGGCCCTAGTCTTGGGCCTTCACAAGCTCACATACCTTTTTCTGTGTCTCTTCCTCACAGCTATCCGCCAGTCAATTTCCAAAGCCCTGGTGGCCTATTACCAGAAATGTGAGTTAAAGAAGGTCCTTCTTAGTCAGGGTGGGTGTTTGGGGACCAAATTCAGGACTTTATAAATTTTCACACTCTTTAATCTCCTCAGATGTAGATGAGGCTTCTAAGAAGGAGATCAAAGACATCCTCATCCAGTATGACCGGACCCTGCTGGTYGCTGACCCCCGTCGCTGCGAGTCCAAAAAGTTTGGAGGTCCTGGTGCTCGTGCTCGCTACCAGAAGTCCTACCGATAAGCCCATCATGGAGATCAGAGCTCACCTTTGTAATAAAACAGTGTGGGATATTAAGGGCCCAAGGACTACTGTGGTCTTCTGTGGTAGTGAGTCTTTAGTAGAACAGGGAAAGCCCCATCTCATGGCTGGTTGTGATTCTAACCCATCTCAGAAGTGATTGCTCTGGGGTTGGTGTTTATGGGTGGAGGTGCCAGGTTGGCGCAGGCAGGATCTGTTTCCCTACACCTCCTGTAGACTTCAGCATACTAGCACAGCTGAGGTGGCAGTGGTTCTGTGTCGTTGGTGGCTGTAGGGTTAGGAGCATGTGGGTTTGGTGGTGGGTTTTTTGTTTTTGTTTTAAGAGGAGAGGTCTCCCTTAATTGCTCAGACTGTCCTCAAATTCCTAGGCTGATGTGATGCTTATGCCTCAGCCTCCTAAGTAACTCAGTCTGTAGGTACATACCACTACCCAGCATTCTGTATTTTTTTCAGTCCTTTGACTGCTATTTTGGGTTCTGGGAATCAAGTGCAGGAATCTACACATGCTAARGAATCTGCTTCTCCCATCTTAACTGAGCGACACTGGCCCCCAGTGCTGGCTTTTTGTTTTGTTTCTTTGGTCTCTTCTCCCCACATGGGTTCTTGCTTTTTTGTCTAGGTTGGTCTCAACTCCTGATCTTAAGTGTTCCACCTCAGCTTAAGCATGTGCTTTAGTTTTCTTTCTTTCTTTTTTTTTTTTTTTTTTAAGAGAGAGACGGGGGGGGGTTTAATATTTTTTAGTTTTTCGATGGACACAGCATCTTTATTTGTACGCGGCGCTGAGGATCGAACCCGGGCGGCATGCATGCCAGGCGAGCACGCTACCGCTCGAGCCACATCCCCAGCCCCGCTTTAGTTTTCTTGTGCTCCATGGCTGGCTTCATCCAGTATCAATAATTTTTTTTATCTGCTTGGGAGGCTATCCCTGTCCAAAAAGCAGTTCCCAGTGTGTTCAGTGTGGCAACTTTTTTTGAGACAGGATCTCGCTAATTTGCTTAGGGTTTAGCTGGCCTTGGACTTGTCAATCTCCTGCATCCCTGGAATTACAGGCTGTACCACCAAGTTGTACCCCAGGGCAACTCGGTTTTTATGGGGTCAACCCTTTTCTGAGATGGGCTCAAGTGCCCATTTGGCAGGCCTGTGGTGTTGTAGGAACCAGGGTGTAGGGAATGCCTACACCCTGTATTGCTGTAGATAAAGCCACCTTTAGGTTTTCCCCAATTGTGGAGGAGAAAAGGAAAAGCACCAGGAAGTAAGTTGTCCAAGGGCACCTAGTAAAAGGTGTGAGTGAGGGGCAGTTGAGCAGTGGAAAAACCCAGGCTGTAAATACATGAGGCAGCCACAGTTCTATCCAAGAGCCCCTCTCTGTTCCAGTCAGTCAGTAAGCAGCAACTCAAAATAGTCCACCTGTGGGAGAAGCCCAGGAAGTTGGGCCCACAAAAATACTGGACCCTGCCTGGAATGTCTGGTGGGCTTCCAGGGAGAAATGCCATCTGAGCCAGGGTCTGCTGAAGACCACTCTCAGTAACTTGGTTCTGGTTATTGAGTCTCGTTTTCTCACCTGCACCTTTTTTTTTTTTTTTAAGAGAATTTTTAAAAAATATTTATTATGTGGTGCTGAGGATCGAACCCCGCGCCCTGCTCATGCCAGGCGAGCACATTACCACTTGAGCCACATCCCCAGCCCCCGTCCCCACTTTTTAAGATGGGGTCTCGGGACATTACCCAGGCTGGCCTCTTAATTCTTGAACTCAAGTGATCCCCCCGCCTTGGTCTACAGAGTAGCTGGGACTACAGCCAGCTTAACCCTTTTTATTTATTTATTCATTCATTTTTGGTACTGGGGTTTGAGCCCAGGGGTGTTCTACCACTGAGCCACATCCCCAGCCACCCTCCTCCTCCCTTTTTTGTTGCGGGGCGGGGGGGGATATGATTGAACTGAGGGGTGGAGGTGGGGCACTTAACCACAGAGCCACATCCCAGCCCTATTTTGTATTATTTAGAGACAGGGTTTCACTAGTTGTTGCCTTGCTTTTGCTGAGGCTGGCTTTGAACTGTATCCTCCTGTCTCAGCCTCCTGAGCTGCTAGGATTACAGGCATGCACCACTGCCTGGCTTYCCCCAGCCCTTTTAATATTTAGTTTAGACACCAGGGTCTCAATGAGTTGCTTAGGCACACTTTGAACTTAAAAATCCTGCCTTAGCCTCCCGAGCCACCGGGTTTACAGGCATGTAACACCGTGCTGGAGTAACTTTCTGAACCTGATTTTAGCCTTATCTCCAAAAAAGACACTCAGCAGGCAGACTGGTTGGCCCTCAGCAGGACACTCCTAACTGGACATGGTGGTTCCTAACTGTAATCCCAGCAACTTGTAGGCTAAGGCAGGAGGGTTGCAAACTCAGGAATTTTAAAAAGGCTTGAGATGGGGCTGGGATTGTGGCTCAGTGATAGAGCGCTTGCCTAGCACTGGCCAGGAACTGGTTCAATCCTCAGCACCACATAAAAATAAAGGCATTGTGTTGTGTCCATCTATACCTAAAAAATAAATATTAAAAAAAAAAAAAGCCTTGAGATAGAGCTCATAGGTAGGAGACGTCTGGGTTTAGTTCCCAGTACCATTTAAAAAGAAAGAAGTGCCCTATAGCAGGAGTTGGGCCAGAGAAATGGGATTCACACACTAGGAGGAGGGGCTGAGGGGTGGGCCCAGGGCCCATGGTATTCCCAAAGGGTCCAAAGATCCCTTTATTGAGGCTCCTGGCTCCCTCCCAGGAACACAGCTGGAGCACATCTGGAAAGGGGCAGCCTCTCCTTCCCAGTTGCTGCCTTAGACACAGCCCCTTTTCCCCTCCCCTCTCCTTAAATACCAGGAATTCCACCGCACTGGGAGCTCAGGCCAAGCCGGGAACTTTCCTTCAGGGAATGGACAGCTGGGGGCGGCTGGGAATGTGCTGCTCAGGCCTGACCTTGGAGGCCACAGTGGAGTCCTGATGACTGCAAACTTGAGTCCACCTCCATCAGAGGCCTCCAGGACTCAGCCCAGGCCCTGGGGCACAGCAGCCAACACTGAGCCAGGCCTTGGGCTGCTGCCTGGGTCAGCTAAGCATCGATCACCTGGGATCCTGGGAGCATCTGGCCGCGAGCCTCCTGGGGCCAAAGAAACACCTGCTCTTAATGTCTCTTGGGGGCAAGCATGACAGGGCATTGGATAGGCGCTCAAATTCAAGAGCACAGACTTGAACCTGGCTGTGTAGGTCTCTGCCCCTTCCTGGTTGTGGCCCTGAGTAAGTGCCTTATCTCTTTGCCTCAGTGTCCTCATCTTGAGTGACACATCCTTAGAGCATGAGGGTGTAGCTCAGTGGTAGAGCATTTGTCAAGCACATGCTAGACCCTGGGTTAAATGCTGGGCAACAAAACACCCCCACCCTCCCTGCCACTTGCCTTTTGAGATGTTAAGACCAAAAGTGATTGACTTTACATAAAGTGTCCATAAGACTTCTGGTATGCAGCTAGTACCCAGTAAATATCAACTTTTATTTTCCCTTTTTAAATTCTGAGACAGGATAGGGTCTTGCTAAATTGCCCAGGCTGGCCTTAAACTTGGGATCCCCCTGCCTCAGCCTCCTGAGTTGCTGGGATTACAGGCATGTGCCACCACACTGAGCTAAATCCAGTTTTTAGCTAGTACTAAAATTCAGATTCCTAAGCTCCTAGCCTAGAGGTTTTTATTCAGTAGGGAGGGATCAGACCTTGGAGGATCTGTGATTTCAATGATGCCCCTGGTCAGAGGTGCAGACACATTTGTGAAATGAGAACACAGCTCAATGCTAGGGTCTTTCCTGAGTCGTTTTGTACATGAGAACAGGCTCAGAGAGGAAGGGCACACACCAAGTAAATAAATATAGGGCCTGAATTTACAGTCATGACACGGGTGCCTCAGAATTCCACAGAAAAACACAACATGCTGAAGCACAAGATGTGTTTGATGAAAGCTGGTATTCTCATCAAACAAGCTGTGTAGATTAGGCTTCTCACCGGGCATACCACTGTAGGAAGGAGGGGGAGAAGGGCTCCACCATAAAAAGCCTTCTGTTTCCACAATCTGAATTACTTTGTGGGAGCCTCCTCCCACATGGGCCTGTTGAAGAACTGCGGAGGTCCCAAGTGAGGGGGAGCAAAAGAATTGGGATATTCATACTGGGGAGGATTGTTGCTAAGAGAAACCAAACAGATGTGGGACACTTTTGCTAGGGCCCAAACCTTATCTGCCCTGGTTCTGGCATATCTCTGAAGTTTTGTGGTACAAAGACCCAGAAGAACCCAATTAGGGAGGAACAGATGGGTCAGCTGACGGATCTGGAGATGGCTGAGCGAGGTGTATGGAGTCAGGGTGGAAATGTGGATGGATGGATGTTGTTAGGATGGAGGGGAGATGGCAGGTGGCCTGGGGGAGGAATGGAATGCGACATGGGTTGGGTGATGGTTGGGTGCAAGGATGAGGAGGGTAGAAATAGCTGGATAAGCAGGTCCCACAGGTAGGCTCATGAATTGGAAGAGGTACGCCAGTCACGGGCTTGTGTGTCACTTCCCATTCATCAGGTCCTATTATCCCCCACCACCTCCCAAACCGGAAAACACACATAATTTCATGTTAATTAACAAAATATTAATGACATCTTCTTCCCTACCCCTGCTGTAGCAAGGCAAGGGACGTTTATGAAAGCAGATCCCAGGTATGCAGCTGAAGCCATTTGTAGACCTGTGTCGGAACTTCCAGGTGGGATCCTGAGAGCACATGGCATCTGGTCAAACGCCTTTTAGGTGGCCTGATATGGCTCATGTGTGGAAAGGGGCATCAGGAGTCCCCTGGGCCCTTCGAAGGCCCACAGGCTCCTGGGTGGGGGCCAGCAGAGCAGGGTGGTTCAACCTGACCTGGGCCTTGGCTGGCCGCAGCCGCCCCCCACCCCCCACCTGGATGCTGACAGTGGTGGCATAACTGAGCCGCCTGGCTGGGGGCGGTGGGGGCTGGGGCTGGGGTGGCGGCGAAGGTGCCCTGGAAGTGGGGGCAGAGGAAGACCAGGGACCCCGGGTGCCTGCAGGGGCCTCTCCTCCAGGCCCCTGCCGCCGAGCCAGACTCTGGCTGATGTATGAGGCGGCCAGGTATCTTGAGAGGGCAGCTGCATTGGGGCCCAGGAGCTGCCGTGTGGGGCGCGGGGGACTGTGGGGAGGGGTGCAGTCTGAAGACTCTGACCTGGCATCCAGAGACATGGAAGGGCCTCCTGGTTTGGATAAAACCATGGTGGTCTGAACCAGGGTGGGCACCAGGCTCTGAACGTCCCGAGAGCTTCCTTGCTCAGGTAAAGGCGTGGGAGCCAGAACAGGGATGTTCAGGGGGTTCTGCTGCCCCAACAAAGGAGTGAGTTTGGGGGCCTGTGTGTCCACAAGGCTGTGCTCTGGAAGCAGYGGGGAAGCAGCTGGAGCCTGGGCGTCCCCAAGGCCTGCCTGCTTGAGCGAAGGGGGGAGGGCCTGGTTCCCGGTGTCCCCGGTGTCCGAGAGGTCTTGTGGCTGGGGCGAGGGGGGTGCAGCTGGAACCTGAATGTCTGGGGGTTCTTGGAGGAAAGACAGTGGAGCACTGGCAGGAAGCGGATGGTCCAGGGGGCCTCCATGTGCAGGTAAAGGTGAGGTACCTGGAACCTGAGTGTCTGGGAGGTGACGTGACGAAGCAAGTGGCGTGTTGGCTGGAATCTGATGGTCCAAGCTGTTCTCATGTGTCAGCAAAAGGTTGACAGCTTGGACACAGACACTGGCTGAGCCCTGATCAGCCCTGGCACCTCCCTGTTCAGTTCTGAGGATGCTGGTGGGGTTCTGGCTATCCAGGTGGCCTTCTTGCCTGGGCAAAGGGCTGCTGGCTAAAACCATGACATCAGAGCAACTTCTGTGCTGGGGCCATGCYGTGCTGGTTGGAATCTGGACGTTCACATGGCGCCCTTGCTTAGGAAGGCAGGTGGCGGAAGGAACCTGAGTATCCACATGGTTTCTCTGTGCAGGCAAAGAAGTGGTAGCTGGAACTTGGATTTCCAGGTGGCCTTCATCAGACACAGCTGGAACAGCTGGGGCCTGGATGGCTAGAGGGCCTTCTTGCTTTGGCAAAGGTGATGCAGCTGGAGCGGGGACATTCTGGAGGCTTCCTTGCCCAAGTAAAGGGGCAACAGTGGGAGCATGAATGCCCAGATGGCCTTGCTCAGGCAAATCTGAAACATTTAGACTCTGGCCATCCAGGTGGCCTCCCAGGCTAGATAAAGGTGCGGCCACCTGAACCCTGGCAGCAGGGCCCAGGGGGACAGATTCCTGGGCACACGTCAGTGGGAAGGCCAGTTCACATACCAGCACATGTCCAAAGGCAGGCCGGGGCCCTGTGTGCAAAGTGGATGAGTCAGGACTGATCCTGCGGCCAGCCCTTTGCTGATGGCAGCACCTGGACCATCAGATCCCAGCCAACCCTCCACTATCTTTGTCCCAAAACCTCTCAGACATTTGGATTCTAGTGCCCCATCTTGGGCCACCTCCACTGATCACCCACCCACCCAGACCTCACCTGGCTCGACCTGCTCCTGGAGCAGGCATGGGGATGGATGGGGTTGGGCCAGGACCCGAGGCCGGCGGCGAGGGGCATTGGCTGATGCCCGCGTCTCAGCCCGCTGCATCTGCTGGATCCGCTCGCTGTAAAGCCGGGCCAGCTCTCGTACTCGGGATGCTGCCCGCTCTGAGTGCGGGGCTCCTGCCTTCCCACTCCTGCTGCCTCCACCTAGATCCGAATCCTCCAGGATCAGCAGTGGCTCTGGAAAGCCTGGCCGGGCCAGCTGCCCCTGCTCCAATGCCTGCCATGCACTTCGGATTTCTGAGCAAGAGCGAAATTCCAGCTCATCTGGGAATCCCTGAGCTTGGGTGACATCCTGGGGCTGGAAATCTGGGAATGATATCCCTTCTCCTTCCTGCTCCTGTCCTGCCCTGCTTTCCGAGGGAGGCTCTCCCAGCTCCCCAGGGTTGCTTCTAGGGAATAGTTCTCTCCTGAGGGCTAAGGCCTCGGCCGGCTCCTGCAGAGGGCATGGGAGCCAGGAGTCACAGGGAGCAGGAGCGCTGGGGAGACTGGGAACGTCAGGCACACTGGGAATGGATGGAAGGCAGGGCATTTCAAAAACACTGGGAATGTCAGAGAGACCAGGAAGGCAGGGAACTTCGGGAATTTCGGGGAGGCTAGGTATGTCAGGAATCTTAGTAAGACTGGGAATGTCGGGAATTTCAGCTGCACTGGGACTTTCAAGCCCCTCTAAGACGTGGAGTGGAGAAGGTTCCCGTTCATCCATCTCCAGCTCTTCCTCTTCCTCCTCCTCTTCTGAAGAGTCCCGGCTGGGCAGGGCTTGGAATGTGAGCGGTTTGCTGTCGCCTGGCACCTGGGAGTCTCTGGGGAACTTGGGACTGTCGTGGATTGCTGGCTGTAGTGAGCATGGGAAGAAGCCAAGACATCAGGGTGGGCTGGCTGACCTGGTCCCTGCTCTCTGCCCATGACACAGTTCTAAGAACATGCCGGGGGCGGTGGTACACGCCTGTAATCCCAGAAGCTTGGGAGGCTGAGACAGGAGGATCGTAAGTTCAAAGCCAGCCTCAGCAACTTAGCATGGCCCTAAGCAACAGGCAAGACCTTGTCTCTAAAAAATATATGAAAAGGGGTGGGGATGTGGCTCAGTGGGCAAGTGCCCCTGGAATAAACCCCAGCACCAAAGAAGAAAAACAAGAGTCCCAAGAACACCATGATGAGGTGCCCAGCTCACCCCAGGATCCCGGAGGCCTCTCTGGTTTAGCAGTTCCAAGATTTCTTCAGTGATTGAGGTTCCAGAGGGGTCCAGTGAAGGGGGCCCAGCATCCTCCAGGTCTTCAGGGGGTCCAGAAGCTGGGACTGTTGGCTGCGATTCTGAGGGGGGATACAGCTCCCCTTCGCTGCCAGCATGCTGTGAGGAGAGTGAGCGGAAGCCAGGAGCCAGGAGGGCCCTGGCCCTTGACTTTGGGTCCCAGTTCCCTCCTTCAGTTGGGGGAATCTAAGCCCCAACCCTCTTATTTAGACCCAGGATTTTGGAACTCAAAACTCCTCCATCAGACCCAGACCTCTAGGCCCTGCCTTGGGGTGCTTCTTACCTTGAATCCAGGCTTATCTGGAGATGGAGAAACAGGAAGAGAAAGAGTGAGATGCAGAAAAGAGTTACTCCTTCTAATTAATGAATGACCCCATCCCCTTCCTCCAGCACCCTGGGTATCCCCTGGGGTAAGAGAAACAGACAGACAGAGGGAGGGACCAGTCACTGACCGTTCTGTGGAAACATGACATACGGGTCCTTCATTGGCTCTGGGGAGGATACAGTGATATCAGGAGCCTCACTCTCACTGGATTTCGGGGTCATCTCTGGGTGGAGGTACTTACCAGACTGCCTGCGGCCACGACGAGCAGCAGAGAGCCCTGGGGATGGAGCTGTAGGAGACGCAGGTCGGAATCCTGTAAGGAGCCGTCCCGAGATCCTGGGAGGGGAGGGCTGGGGGGCCAGCCTCAGCCCGCCCTCATTTACCTGTATTCCTTCGGCCAGGGGTGAAATTTCCAGCATCCCGAGGTTGGGGAGACCCGAGGGGGGGTGTAAGAGGCTCTGGGACAGTCTTACTTTTCAGAGCACCTGTGGAGAGAGTTTCAGGCTAAAAGCCCACTTTTCCTTGGAAGTAACTGTCCAATTTCCACAGCCTCCCGGCCCAAGGTCCCAACTCACTGTGCAGGCTGTTCTCCAGGAGAACTTGTTTTGCCTGAAAGAGACACGGGTGAGGGTCAAGTCGGCTGGTCTGCGAGCACCACACCATTCTCATAAACGGGTGCTTTTGCATCAGGCCTGATGACCACTAGTCCTCACCACGAACGTAGGAGGTGGCCACCAGAATTCCCCCAGGTAAGAAAGTTGAGACCCAAAGAGGTTAAAAATGACTTGCCCAAGGTCACAAAGCAGGGTCATGGTAAAGCTGAGATTCAAGCCCAGGTGGTCTAATTCTGTGCCTTTAGTGACCATGTTACAGGAGTGTCCCTGTACTCAGAGGGTCTTCCGGTACTATGGGGGTAGGGTCTCCAGCACTCCAGCCCCCGGCCCCGCACAGTGGCAGGAGCTGTACCTTGGCAGGAATGGAGGCAGGGTGGTTCTCAAAGAAGAGGCGCTGGAGACAGTGAATCCACAGCCTCTTCTCTTCTTGGTTCTTAGCCTGATGGTGGGATAGAGTCAGGAAGCCAGGAGCGAGGTCTGGAGGAACCCTGCAGCCCCACCCACCCCTATGCTCACCTGGAGCAGGTGYCTGTGCTTGGGAATGGTCAGATCGGACACCTTGAACCCTAGAGGGTCTCGAGAACTCTCACTCACACTCAGGTTGCAGCACTGGATTAGGGGCAGAGAGGCGCCTGGTTCAATGTCCTGTAGGCCCAGCCCCAAGTCTTGCAGGCACTAAGATGCCCGGGAGGTGTATCTGGGCCTATGCCCCCAAAGGATGCATCCTATAAGACCATATGCCGGGTCCCCTTTCCCCACAGGGCGAGGCTCTGTTCTCACCCTCACCAGGCCCCCCATGGTCCCTCCCGCTGAAGACACTTACCTCGTGGGCAAATCCAGGTTTTCCCTTGCAGATCTCACCCCATCACTACTCGCATACCCTACCAGCCCTGTACCTCCTAACAAGCCTTAAGCTACATTTGAACCCAAGAAAATGTGGCACTTTTAAACCAGGCTAACACCCCCACCCTTTTAGGTTTAGTTACAGGGACATAGAACATACCAGGTAGTAACAGTCTAGCCCAGCCCCATCCCCAAACTCACGAAGATGTGGCCCTTGTAGATGTATTCTGGCCCCCGGCGCTTGGCCACAAGCAGCATCCGTGAGAACAGGAAGAGCAGCCGCTCACCCCCTCGCAGCCGGGGGCCACCCCCTCCACCACCTCGGAAGGCGCCCTCCAGCACCAGCTCCCCGAAAGCACTGAGCTCCGGGCCAGTCCAGCCGCCCAGCCGCCGCTGCACTTCCTGTTGGGACCCCACCAGGAGCAGGGACAGGCACGAACAGGTGGCACATAAATACACACGCCACACGGGGAGGTTAGTGACAGGGACCTGCTCTGAGCCAACCCTTTAAGGCTGCCTCGAAGCACTGACCCCCGCCCCAGGCCCACGGCTCACTCCCCACGGCCAGCCCAGCCCACTCTTGGGCCACCTGGAGGCGCGCTGCGTGCTCCTGCTTGCGCTTCATGTCATTGATGTACCAGGCGACCGCTGTCATGGACACAATAGCTTCCTCTACCATCTCTCGGCCTCCGGCACCAGGGCCCTCTGCCCAGTGCTTGCCTAGCTCCTGCCACGTGGCCAGCAGGTCAGGTACACAGGCAGGGAAGAAAAGAGGACACGAGAGTTACCAGAGGAGAAATGCAGAGTAGGAGGCAGAGACAGAGAAAACCGGGCTGTGGGACGTGGGGTGCCAGTCCCTATGGCCAGTGAGACCTGACACCAAACACTGGCCCAGTTTCTGCGGCCCAGATGCCTCCCCAAGGGCAGAGTCTGGGGGAAAGTCAGAGGACACCTCCGCAGGCTTGGCCCAACTCTTGCTGGGCCCATGGTCCAGAAGTACCAGAAGGTGACCAATGGCTGGGACCTTGCCCTCGCCCAGGGGCCAGCTGACCTGTAACAGCAGATGGTACTTGAGGATGCGCTGAACGGGCTTCAGCAGGAAGCTCTGCAGGGGCAGTGAGTGACGAAGCTGGGCCTGGCGCTCCTGCAGCCACAGGGACGCTGGTGGAGACAGCGAGAGCTCCCGGAGCAGGGCCAGGGAGCTGGGGGCACAGCACAGGTCAGGGGGCCTGGCAGTTCTAGGGGCGGAGCTGGAAGGGCTCAGCAAGTGGCCAGGGTATGGGGACAGTCAGGATCTGGCGGGGCCAAGGGCAGTCAGGGGGTACAGGGAGGAGGGCTGGCTACTAGCCTGGGCTTTGCAGGGCTCCCCACAGCTCACCTGGGGTAGTTCATGCAGTACAACGTGTAGATGTCAAAGTCTTCACTCTGCAGGAGACAGGAGTCAGGGAAACCCCAGCTCCCAGGGCCCCCTCCAGCCTAGACCAGGCCTGCTCCCCTCTGCCGGGCGGGTCCTGGCTGAGAACCCTGGCTTTACTCACCCTCTGCACGAAGCACTCAGCAATATCCCCTGCGCTGCGGCTGCCCTCCAAGTCCTCCAGGAGCTCACTGTGGAGGAGGGGAAGGTGAGGAACTACTTCCATGTGTCCCCCACGGGAGGACCTCCCAATAGTCCACAGGGGCTAGGGTCTGGCAATAGCCAGGGTCTCTCAAGGGGATGTCTTGTCCAGAGGAAGGGTCTTTGCTGACTACCCGGGTACTGCAACCTGGTTAGACTCTGTCCTTGGACAGCTTCACACTACTTAGACTGAAATCTTGTCACAACTGGTATGAACAGGGGTGGGGAGGGTGGGTTTATGTCATGACATAAAAGGAACACTATGGCCCAGGGGAGAAGGGTGTCCTGACTGCTAAAGCCACAACCTTATTGTGATCCCGAGATCTCACCAAAGCACTCAGAGATGTCATGATTTTTGAACCCAACACCCTCCTCACCAGGGCCACCAACCATCTGATTTCTCTGGGACTAAGCAATTTCCCAGGACAAGGGACCTGCAGGGTTAAAACTGGGAAAGTCCTGAGCAAATCAGGACAAACTGGTCACAGTGCTGACATGGCTACGACCTTCAGGCCCCACAAGACTCTTGGACTCACTGTGAGCCTGGCACTGCACTGAGACCCCCTCCTGATATTTGGACCTCATCCACACTCTTAGATTCCTGTCCCCTACGCTCCTGGGCCCTCACTCTATCGTGAACCCTGACTGACGTCACCATACCCCATGTGCCAGCCTGGAGCGAATGCTACAGGGCTCTATAGTGTACGCTAGGACACAGCCCCCAACAGCATTCAGCACCCCCGCCTCACCTGCTGAACTCATAGATGTCCTCAATGTTGGCAAACAGGGTGCCCACCTGCTCCACGCTCAGCCCCAGGACCCCGCCATCCAGCAGGGGACCTAGGTAGTCCTGTAGGGATGACTGGGGTTACTGGGGCCAAGGGGCCTGTCTGCAGTCCCCACTGCCCTCAGGTGCCTGCCCACCTCACCTCCACGATACTGCGTAAGTCCCGGACATAGGCCCGCTCTGTCTCCACAATCTCACGGGCCACACGCTCCAGCCTCGAGGGTTTTGCCGAACCAGAGACCTCAACGGGTGACAGATGCAGGCGAATGGGGGGACCTGGCAGGGGCTCTGGCCTGGAGGCTGAGCAGGCTGGGCTGGGCCCTGGAGCCAGGTCTCCCTCAGAGCCCACAGTGCTCAGGGATGTGGAACTCCCAGAACCTCGAGGGGAAGCCATGGCGGGGGCTGCAGGGGCTGCTGGGATGTGAAGTGAGAGGTCAGGGGTTCTGCCAAGCCCCCTCCCATAGCCCACTCACCTCACTTGGCCAAATCCTTCCCAAAGGTTTCTTCCTGTCTTCCTCACGGCCCAACCTTCTCCCATCAGGGCTCTCTGAGCTTCAGCCACTAGTTTATCTACTCCACCCACCTGCTCCCCGTACTCCATCGCGCACAGGAAGGTAACCCTCATGCCCTTGACTAACGCCCAAACTCCTCAGATCCACAGGCCCCCGTGCAAAGTGGCCACCACACCTCTCCAGTCAGCTCTCTTCCCACTGCCGCACCTCACCTTGCCCTGTACTCCAGTCACCCCCAATTTCTTTCAGTTACCCAAAGCTGCGGCTCAGGTCTTTGCATATACTGTTCCCAGTGTGGCCATTGTGGGGACAGTCTTCCTTGTCTTTGTCCAACTCTCTCCTCCCAACCTTTCAATTCTTGGTTAGCTATTGCCACCTCCAGGAAGCCTGACTTCCCAGACTGGATTCCCATACCTCCCAGGTGTCTGCACCACAGCCCAGGCCACTTGGTCCCAGGCTTTCCCCTCTAGACTGTCACTGATTGTGAAGAGCTGTCTTTCCCACCAGATCAGGAACTCTGTGAGGACAGGGCTGGGTTGTCTTGGTCACCCCCTGTGTTGCCAGCACTGTCCAGCACTAGACTAGCCACCCAGGGTTCCTCAAATCTTGAATAAGAAACATGCCTACAGGCTCTACCTGCCTGGGTGCTCACCTGTCGGAGTCTCACCCACAGCTGGGCACTCACAGGCTTGACCTCTGTGACTGCACCCGGGGCTGGGGCTGGGGCCACGGCCGGGTTTGGACAGGCTCAGTCCGCGGGCTCCCTCAGGCATGGCTCAGCAGCACTGCAGCAGCAACCTGCAGAAAGACCCCTTTCTTGGGTACAGGACCCCATAGGTCTCCTGGCTTTCCACACTCACATATGGGGCTCTGGAATTAGAAGGGAGGGGCCCCTTGGGAGGAACTAATGGGGAAGACAGGCAAAGTGACAGGAAGAGGGGGATAAGGAGAGAACCTTGAGAAGATGGGAAGGTTGAGACAAAGAATGAAAAGAGCAAGTCGCAGAAGCTAGGAGTCCCGTCGGCCTGGAGTCGGAGAATCAGGCATCCTGGGAACGTTTGAGTTCTGGCTGGAGCCGAGGGCTAGGGGCAGGGCTGGGAAAAGCCGTGGGCGGGAGGCCGCGGGGTCCCAGGGGAGGGCGGAGGCTGGGGGACCGGATGCCAGGGTCCTGCAGACGGCTCCCTCCCCCGCTGAGGACTGAGCGCTGGGGCGCTGGCCGCAAGCCCTCCACCCTCCTCCAGTCGATCCCTCCCGACCAGATCACGGTCCCGGCCGCCAAAATCTCCCCAGCGCCTTCCCACACCCCTCGGCCCCCAACTCCCGCCGGCGCCTCCGCTCGCCCGGCCGGCACGCCCCCTCATTGTTCACGGCGGCGCCGCCCCCTCCCCCAGCCCGCCCGGGCCCCTCGCCTCCCCGCTCCTCCCGGGGAGCTGCCCGCGCGCGCCGGGGAGCCGAATTCCCAGTCTACCCTAAGCCGGTCCCCAGGGAGGCCCGGAGCAGAACTCAGGCTTGTGGACCTCGGGCTCTCGGACTCCGGGAACCAGGATCCCGGGCCCCTCGGGAAGCGGGTCCGGCAGTCCGAATTTTTGGTGTTCTAAGAGGGGGGTACTGGGCGTCTCGGATGCGAGCGCTGGGACCCAAACTCCTTAACCTTCTAGGTAGAACTGTGGGAGAACCCGGGTCCGTGAGTTCCCCTAACTCTAGGGCCAGGGACTAAATCACCTCGAGGCGGAGCGCAAGGGGTCCAGAATTCCTGGGTCCCCTTGAAGTGGTGCTTGCCGCAGCCCCAAACAGACTGGCTGGGGCGCTAGGGGTCCGGATCCCAAGTTTCTCCAACCCGGGACCGTGGCTCGGATTTCTGAACTCTTGGAGGGGATGTGAGTTCGGGGATCCCGAGTTCTTCTAACGCGGGTGCCGGACGCTCGGCCTCCCGGGTCCTGAGGGGCTGACGTCCCAAACTCCTGGCTCCCCCAGGAGGGGGCGCTGGGCACCTGAGGTCCTTGAGTAGGGTCGCGGGGGCCTGGACTTCGAGGTCTCTCAAGAAGCGGTGCAGAAATTCCAGACTCCCGAGTCCGAGACTTTGGACCCCTCTGACTCCGAGATGGATGGCACGGGGCTCCGGCGGCTGCGTCACCGCCACATCTGGGGCGGGAGAAGTGGGTCCCAGCTGTGGGGTGGGGGGCGGTCGCCGGAGGCTTCCCCTCCCCCTCTGCCGCCCGGGCTCACATCCTGTTCCCGCCCGTGGGGGGGAGGGGCCGCCTTCCGGCCGGCCCGCCAACGAAGGGTTAAGGCCCCTCCCCCGCCTTGATTCTGAATATTCATGAGGAGGCGGGTCCTCGGGGCGGCCACAGCCCCACATTCCAAGCGCCTCGCAGACTTTTCCCTTTTACAGCCAGGGCCTACGAGGCGTGAGAATCCGGAACAGGACGTACTCTTTTTCCGATTGGTCAGTCAAAAGATTTCTATTTGCATACACAATATAGGGAAGAATCCTCCTGGAGAGGTCACGTGGCTAAGAACGCCTGAAGGACTCAGTGGCGCAAGGGTGCGGCCGGAGCTCCAGTGGCGCAATCGGTTAGCGCGCGGTACTTATAAGACAGTGCGGGCGGAGCGATGCCGAGGTTGTGAGTTCGATCCTCACCTGGAGCACTCCTTTTTCCCTAAGGAACATTGTTAGTTTTCTCATCAGTTTTTATTCTTATATGTCTTGTGGGTCAACCAGACATCTACATCACTTAGAGCAATGAACACTTCCATCTTAATTTTGCGGCTGGAAAAACTCATTTCGCGACGATGGGTTGAGAAAGTGTTCTGTATAGTGGGAAGGTGCCGTTTCCATTCTTGCCGCCAGGGGGAGGTACCGCCTCTCACCAGATGTCTTGAGCCTCGATTTGAGTCTGTAAATCTGAGTTTATGACTTTTTCTTTTTTTCAGTGTTGGATGGGACTCACCTAGTTTAAGACTTCTGTAGCGGTATGACAGGCTGTGGGTCCGCAAAACTGTATGAGAACTTTGCCGCTTTCTCTATATTTCTCCTCTTTTTAACCCTCTTTTCTCGGTCTCTTAATCCATTTATTTTCTTTCCGTGGCAGTATTGGGTATTGTACCCAGGGACGCTTTACTCCTGCGCTGCATCCCCCTTTTTAAAAATTTTTATTTTGAGACAGGGTCTCACTAATTGCGGAAGCTGGCCTCAAACTAATTATCCTTCGCCTCAGCTCCCCAGGAGGCATTGGTTCGACTTTTTTGTTTGTTTGTTTGTTTGTTTGTTTTAATTTGAAAACCTCATTATGTGCCAGGTTCTGTTTAGTTGTGGGTGATACAGCGGTGAATAAGTCTCTGCCCCTGAGAACTTGACATTCTACTGAGAAGGTAGAATCCAATAAACCTAAAAATTTTTTTTTTTTTTCCAGTACTGGGGATGGAACCTAGAGGCTCCCTGTCATTGAGATAGGTCTCCAGCCCTTTTATGTATTTCTTTAATTTGAGACAGGGTCTAGCTAAGTTGCCCAGGCTGGCCCGGAACTTGGGACTTTCCTGCCTCAGTCTTCTGAGTGGCAGCAGAAATATAGGCCTGTGCCACCACTGTGGCAGAATGAAGTACACTTTCTATGTTGGGTGATGACAAATACCATGCAGAAAGTAGAGCAAGGTAGAAAGTTGGGGAATGGAGGGGGTGTGGGTTGTAATAGAACCAGTCCGGGATAATCTCATCTGAGCAAAGACCCAAAGGAGGGGAGTAAGCTTTGAGGACACCAGGGTGTCATGCAGGCAGAGGGACAGGACAGCCTTTACAGCCAGCATAAAGACCCTGTGGCTGTAACGGGCCAGATGTGCTGGTGGAGCAGCTAGGAAAGCAGTGACTGAGGTCACATGAGCAGGGGGAGGACAGCAGATGGGAGCCAGGTTGTGTAGGATGCATAGAGGACTTAGGACTTTTGACTTTTTGTGATCAGGTGTCCTTGTTTGTCCCCTGGGGGAGTGGAGGAAAGAGAAAGGACAGGGTGGAGCAGAGAGATTGAGGAAGCTGCGGTGAAGGCTCAAGTGGGAGATGCTAGATAGGACCAGGGGGAGATAGTCCTGGGGGAGGGTGGAGCTGGTCGATGAATTGTTGCAGTATGGGTTTGAGAAAGGTGACAAGGGATTCCCAGGTCCCAGGTGTCTGGCCTGAGTCCTGATCACTGGTGGTAGGTGTCATTTTGTTAGCTGAGGGTTTCGTTTTGTTTGGCTGGTGCTGGGACTGAACTCAGGGCTTTGTATAGCTGAGCAGGGGCTCTCCCCCTGGTGACACCCCCAGCGCAGGTTGCAGGTTTTACTGTTTTGGGAATCAATCAGATATTTCTGCTTCTTGGTGTTCTTTCTGAGTGCACGTCTCTTTCTGCAGATGTTTTGGCACTGCTTACTCTTGCTCTCTGCCTTTGGGTCTTCGGGTTTCTGTTTCCCTCTCTCCCACATACCAGGGCCTGAGCCCTTTCCCACAAGGAGGCAGTTTCCTGGAAGGGAAGACCAAAGGTCACAATCAGCCAGTGGGATGAGAAGTGGGACAAGGGAGGCAGAGGAGGGGAGGAGGGAAAGTGGCTGCAGAAGAGGAAAGAGTGAGGAGGCGGAAGATAGATCGAGAGGGAAGAAAGGAGGAGAAGGGTAACTAGAAGAGGGGGTGAGGGGCAGGAAGGGCTGGGGGAGAGGAGTACCCGGGAGGGAGGAGCTAAGAAAAGGCGACCTGGAGGCAAAGGGGAAAAGGGAGGGGACGAGAGGGAAGTGGGAGGGAGGAGGGAAAGTGGAGAGAACCGAGGGGTCAAGGGAGGGAGGAGACTGCGGGCGAGGGGTGGGGCGAAGGTCTGACGTGGGGCGGCTTCCGGGCTCGGCGCCCCCACTCCGGGGGGCGGCTCCCGACGCCTCTTGCCTTGTATGGTCCGGGGACGCGGCTCCCAGGGCCCCGCCCGGACGCGCGTCCRCGACCCACGCACACCGGCTGGGAGAGGCCACCCCGGCTGGAGGAGTCCCACGCCTCGCATTCCCAAGGTCCAGAAATGCCCGGATCCCGAAGTTCTGAACTTCTGGGTCCCGACAAGCCCCAACCCTGTAACCCCGAGGTCCCAGTGTCCCGGGGGTCCCCGAGAGACCCCAGCGTCTAGATAGGAAGTCGTGCCTAGATTGGAAGCGACACAGCCTGAGATTCCAAAGTGCTGAGATTCCCGACTCTGGAGACGTCGGACCTCCTCCCGCAACAGCCTGGAGGTCCGAGTCCCCCGGGTTCAATTGCTGAGGCGGGTGCCGCGGCCCCAGGAGCCTGGGCCCCGGGGGTGACCCCCGCCTCTGCGGCCCGGCCGCCCCCGCCCGCCCTGGGCTCGCGTTCCGGCACATTCCGTCCTCTCAACTCCGCCCGGCCCGCCTCCCTTGGCCCCGTGGGGACGGAAACATCCCGTCCCCGCCCGAGCTGGGTCAAGGAGCCCGATGAGACAGGAGCGCAGCGCCCCCCACGCCCCGGGAACTGGCTCTCCCGGTTCTTACGGGTGACCTCACCTGGACCCGCCCTCTCAGGTGAAGGGCCGGGTCCGCTGACGTCACTTCCTGCCAGGTAAGTGCCACTGGCGCTGGGGTTCACAAAGGTCAGTCGACTCTACCCTGCTGAGTTACACCGACCTTCCCTCTCCCCTCACCGCCTCTAGACCCCGAAAAAAACAGCATTCTTTTGCAGATAGACTCCTTTTATTTAAAAATCTCAAAAAAACAAAAACACAAAAATAAAATTTTAAGACAATATATTACTTAATATATTATAGCATACTTACAATAATTATACCATCGTTTCCAATATTACAAAAAGGCAGGGAAATACAAGGGAAGCAGACGACCCAATATATATAAATAACTATAAAATCTTATTAGAATAAATAAAGTCGTCATAAATAAGGGGCCCCCTGGCTTGGGAGGAGGGATTTGGCAATAACTTTGGCTACTTGCTTGTGGAGGGAAATTTGAGCACCAGGATTCTCCCTCGGGGAGGTTCCAATCACCAAACACTGGAACCTCGGGTCTAGGGGAAAATGGGAGGGGACATAGGGGCCTACTATTCACAGCAAACAATTCCAGGAGACAGTTGGGCAGGGGAGAGGACTCACTGGTTCCCTCAAATATGCTACATGTTTTAAAGAACCCCAGAAAACACTGTCCCCCAACACCATGAACACTGAGCTTGCACACTGGGGACCTGCCCCAGGGTGGCATGGGGGAGGGGTTAATGCATTATGGAATGTGGAGGGAGGGCCACTTGATTAAATCAGGAATCCCCCAGGTTCCCACAGCACAAGTKCCTCCCCTTGAGATCCAGCTGATGCCTACTAGGCAGGCACTTGTCATTCAGAAACAGAGATTCGATTGAAGATGGGGAGTCGTCGTGGGGCTGCAGGTGGCTGAGGTGGCACAAAAACCCCAGCCTCAAAGACAGGTGAGTCGGATCCCCCCAGGCTGCTGCCGCTGCTGGCATATTCATCAGGGTCAGATCCCAGACTGTGTGCAGAAGGGCTCCGGGCCAGGCCACCCAAGGGCCCCCAGATGCTGCCAGGAGTGGCCCTTTTGCAAGAGGGGCAACAGGCTGGGGTGGGGTCCCTTCGAGTCACAGGGGTCCCAGGGGCAGCAGAGAAGGCAGAAGGTGAAAGCGGAAGGTCCCCAGGTGGTGGTGGGGAGCTGGAGGGTGAGAAGGAACATGAGGACAGGGAAGGGCCTGCCAGGCCTGGTGGTGGTGGAGAGGTTCGGCGGCCAGAGGGCAAGCCAGAGAAGCTGATGCTCTGGCGCAGCACATGGGGGTGGCCAGGGGCCGCCAGGTCCTCGTTGAGATTGTGAATGAAGTGGCACCGTGAGCCGTAGGGGCAGCGGCCCTGGAGGTAGAATTTGTGGCAGAGTTCCGTCTTGTACTTGGGGTGGCGATTGGCCTGGCGCAACTCACCCAGGCCATGGGCAAACTGGCACTTAGCCCCATAGCGACAGCGCCCACTCTCTGAGAAGGTCCGACACAGTTCAGTCTTGTAGCGGGAGGAGGTGGTAGGGGTGGCAGTAGGCGAAGTGGGTGAGGGCGACTGCTCAGGCCCCGGGCGGGGAACAAGGGGTGCAAAGCCAGGAGGTGGGGGCACCCAGCCACAGCTGCGGCCCTCCACCAGGCTGGTAGAGCGGCCAGGCAAGCGGGAGGTGACCCCAGAAGGGCTGGAGTCAGATGAGTTCAGGCTCCAGAGTCCAGAGGACTCAGTTCCTCCGTGGTCGGATGACAGGTCAGGGCTCAGCGACAAGAGGCTCTGTGGGAATAGTGTTCGGTTAGGACACCCGAAAACCGAAAACGCAGGGTGACGCCCCGCCCCACGGCACAAGAGCCTGCCAGTCCGGTTTGTGGGCTCCGGGCCTGAGCCCCACCCCATTACAGAAACTCCTGGGTTCCAGATCCCAGGGATCCCGGTGGAGGTTCTGGGTTTATCTACGACTGACGCCTATTCTGAGGGACCCAGAAACACCTCCTCGCGCCGCTGAGGAGTTAAGAGGGGTCCCAAAGTTAGAGCACACAACTGTTCCTCAATTTGAAGCCTCTGGGCCTCCGGGGATACGGATGAGTTTCGTAACTGGGGGAGCCAGGCAAAGCTGACCTAGGAGACCGCGTCTTGGGTTTTAGGAACTCTGATTAGGAGCGGAGGCAGAAGTTGGTCCCCCCGCCCCCCGCGGTGGAACTTCAACCCCTGAAACGCCTCCGCGCAAAACCGCGCCCTCAGCAACTAGGGGTGAGCCAGGTGTGGGGGCCATTTCCGCTTCCAGGCAACCCTAGTTTGAGAAAAGTGCGCCAGCTTTCCGTCTCCAGGGCCGCCCCGCCCGTGTTTGGGCTGCGACCCGGGAGTTGTGGGCTCTATTTTCCCGTCCTGATAATCAGGCTGGTCTGAGAAAGGAGGCCGACGGCCCGGGCCCGAGTTTGCGGCGCCAGAAGAGTAGAGAGTCAGGCGTGTGGTCCCTCGGGAATGCGGTCGGAGGGCACTCACCTCGTAGATGGCAGTGAGATCCATGGCGGCGCGGGTGGCCATGAAGGGCGGGCCAAAAGTCGGAGCGCTGAAGTCAGGCTGCTGCGGGCGGCGAGAGCCAGCATTTTATAGGACCGCTTGRGGGCGTGGTCACGAGAGGCGGGGCCAGGAGGGGCGCTTCCCGGACGCGCGCCCGCGGCTGGGCCCGCCGGGCCTCGTACCAGTTCCCTTCCGCCCGCCCCCGGCTAGGATGCGCCAGAACTTGGCCGGGAGGCCGCCACGACCCAGCGGGAGGGCCTGGGATGGGAAGCTAGAGCCTGAAGCGCCCAGGGAACGGGGAGAATGGCTCCAGGGGCAAAAGAGAGGGGCTGAGGCCGAGTGGGTGTGCACGTGCGAGACGGACAGTCTCGGGGAGGGGAGAGACCGAGAAAGAGACAGAGATAAGACGAGATGCAGAGAGAAAAACAAAGAGCGGCACGCAGCTAGAGACCTAGCCCCGCCCGGCGGAGGCGCACACCTGTAACCCAGCTGGGAGGCTGAGGCGGGACGATCCCAAGTTCCAGGGCAGTGTCAGCAATTTAGAGAGACCCTCGGCAATTTGGTGAAACTCTGTCTCAAAAAAAAAAAAAAAAAAAAGAGAGAGAGAGAGAGGAAAAAAAAAAAAAAGAAAAGCAAGAAAGAAAGAAAAAGAAAAAAGAAAGCTGGGGATGTAGCTCAGTGGCAAAGCACCCTGGGTTCAATGCCTAGTCCCAAACCAAAAACAAACAAAAAACGAAGGCACAGAAGAGGAAGGGAAGAAGAGGAGGGAGGAGGAAGTGGGGAAACCAGAGATGGCCCCTGAGAGACAGATTCAGAAGGGAAAAACGACACGGGAGAGGCACAGAAGAAAAAAGGAGAAAAACAGTGAGAAACTCCTGCAGAGAGACAGAAATCTGCAGGGGCAAAAGGAAGAGCCGAGACCACAGACCTTTTGGAAGGGAATTCTCTTCGCAGACCTTACTTGGTGCAGCATCACCTAGATCGGCCGACGTGCTCTCCACGTCCCATTCAGGGGGGTGGGGGTTGGGTGAGGCCCGGGCTACCTGGCCAGGTTGAAACGGGCCGCTGCGGCACCTCCTGCTGACGCTGATAATGGCACTTCTAATTTCTTCGGGGTGGGCCATTGTGTAAATGCTTTACATACATTAACTCAATCCCCGCCACCTCTCAGGGAGGTATTATACCCATTTTAAGCACAAAGAAACCGAGGTCAAGTTACTTCCTTTAAAAGGTAGTGAACCTCAGCCACCAAATTCCAAGACATTTAAAATTAAAGATGGGGGGGGGTCTGGATCGGAGGAGGACTGCCTGGATTCAACAGTTTTTAGAGATGGTCGCCGTGGGCTTTCCTCAACGGTTGAATGGGACTTACAATGAGGGTTGCCTTGCAGCAATTTCCATTTTCAAGGATCATCCCCCACATTGGCAAGCCCTTTATTTTCAAAGGATTGCCCTGAGTAAAAACTCTTTAAGATCTGGGAAGTAAATTGACCTTTTGGGGGGAATCTTGATGAGCTGGCTGCCTTGAGAGAAAAGACGGGGGTAGATAGAAATCATTGCCGTGAAGCGGAGTGATAATGGTGGAAAGTTCATTCTTGCACGCTGCGCCGCGGGCTTGTATTGAGGTGGGGAGATCTGGCCAGGCTCCAGCCAACTTGCCTCGTCGTAGCACGGGGGGAATCCCTAATGTGGCGCTTTCTGAGGCCAAGGGGCCTTCCTAGATCGGTCCCGTGAGCGGGGCGGGCCGCGGGCGGCTTTGGCACGGTTGCGGCCTCCCGCTCGCCCGTGACTCACTCGCAGGGGGCGGGGGAGGGGGCTTCCTGGAAGCCGTGACGAGGAGGCTCAGCCGGGACGCCCGGGTTCCTCTCCTGTAACCAGGGCTCCTGTCTGCTGTAAACAGAGCCTCGAGGACCAGGGGAAGAGCGGCGGGAGGGGGGCGCGAGGAGGGGCCCCGGGACCTGCCTCCCGCCCAGGCCAGCGCCGTCGCTGTCGCTCCAGGGACTAGAGGGGAAAACCTGAGTGGGGGGCAGCCCGGGTCCGCTCTGGCCACGGCCCAGGGGGAGGGAGTCCAGTTTCGATTCCCTGGAGACAGGGCGCCCTTCCCACTCCTGAGTCGGCCCGGCCCCCTCCCCTGTGCCATCTGCTGAGTCATCGGGACCAGAGCTGGACGCTGGGGATCGGGCCACCCTCGCAGGGCGGGACGACCCCTGCTTCCCCCAAACTCCAGGCCGACGTGGGAGGCTCTGGAAGCTGGGCCTGGGCCTCTCCTGCCAGGACAGCGAGGGTCGAGGCCCTCCTCCGTCGCCCGCAGGGCTGCGGCCCCCAGGCGCGWCTCGCTCGCACCCGGGCCCGGACCCTCCCCTCTCGGCCCGGAGTCGGGGGCCCTGCCCCCAGCGCCCAGGCCCGAGGAAGTTCACGGCAGGACTCCTCCCCGCTCCCCACGTAGCCAGCGGGAAAATCCGCGGCTCCAGCGGCCCCGGGAATCCCCTCTGGAATGACGGTGGGGAGGGACGTGGCCGGGGTCCCGGGCTGGGCGCCCCGATCGGGTCCTGGGCGGGCGGGSCGGGTGGGGGGAGAAAGGGGCGGAAACCAGAAAGGCTAAAAATACCGCGAGCACTTCCGGCCCAGGGGGAGGAGAGCGGGGAGCAGAGTTTCCAGAAAAACAAGCGGGGACGGGAAACGCGGGGGTGTGAGAGCCCGTGTGAGTGCGCGGGCGAGCAGGGGCCGGTGTACTCACGGCACGTGTGCCCGGCTGCGTGTGTGCCCGGCGTGATTGCCTGGGCGGCCGCGGGTGTGGCCAAGGTGGGGCTGGCCCGTGTGTGCCCCGGTGTGGGACTGCTGGTGTGCACCGCTAGTGTAAATAGTGTGCTCCTGCAGGTGTGTGCCCTGCACCTCTGGGGGGAGGAGGTCAGGGCGCCTGGGGTTGCAGTTGGGGAAGTAGGTGTGGGACTTGAGTGTGCCGGCTTCCTGTGTGAAGGGCCGTGTGCATATGATCCCCAAGGACAGGACTCTGTGAATAAACATGTGAAACCATCTATCTGTGTAATAGATTGACTAACCACCAGCGCTGGAGCCAACTGGATGTGGGGAGGCGGTGAATTGCCATTGCTCTGCAGCTGTCTTTGAGTTGGATTTATGGGACTGCACTGCCATACCGCTGCCATCTGTACATAGCTCTGAGCCACTGTGGGATCTGGAGTGACTAAGGTGCCTGGGCTGGCCAGGGACTGACTGTACCTGCTGGTGTGGCTGGGGGTCTGCAGATATCCTTGAAGCTAGGTGATTTCATGACCTTGAAGTCCCTCTAGGTGATTGCAGCTGTGGCTCAGTGTGTATGCTTTTTAGGTGTATGAGTGGTGTCCACGCGTCTGTCCTTAGCCGTGGGTGTGCCTGAGGCTGCATGTGCATGACGACACATTAGGCTAGTGTCTGGATGAAGTTCCTCTGTGGCCCAGTCACAAGGCAGTGAAATTGGTGAACTTTGGTGCCTGACGTCGACAGCGCGCATGATGGGAAGAGTGATTGGCGCCCTGCTCCATGTGTCTGCCTCTGTGGGCAGCGCAGACATGCACACACCCGCACCTGAGAAGCTGTGTCTGAGCCAGTCTTATCTGTCCCCAGCTGGTGAGGTGCTGCTGCCACTGGGCTGAGGGCAGAGCTGACTCAGCCCTGATGGGCAAAGTCTGCGATGGGGTGAGAGATAGCGGGCAAAGTGGTGGTTAGAGGGGTGTTTGTGTATTCACATGGTTGAGTTATTCATTTAGAGTTTGTTTGTGGGACTGCCAATGGGATGGGGTCCCTGGGGCATCAGGTAGTGGGGTGGTGGGTTCTGCTAGTCTCTGCTGGACGGTGAGGGGGTGAGGGTGGTGTGTGCCTGTGCGGTGCCCATAGTCTGTGCTGCCTCATGTGTGTTGTGTGGTGGCTGTGCATGCATGTCATACACACCCCCCTGAGCACCAGGTCCTACACCCTCCCTTTGTGCCTAACAACCTAGCAAAGTCAAGTCCTCACTGGATAATCTGCTGGGGCTTTCTGTCCTATCCCTGCTCCTTCATCAAAACCCCAATCCTCCTCATTGGTGGGTCAACTCACCAGCACATTCCTGCCTCAGGGCCTTTGCATTGCACTTCTCTCCCTGGAATGCTCTCGCAGTGGATTCCTTCTCCAWGTTGACTCTAACACGTCAGTGAGGCCTGCCTTGACCTCTATTAAGGATTTTTTTTTTTTGTCTTGAGACAGGAATGGGGTTTATTACATAACCCAGGCTGGTTTTGAACTCCTGGGCCCAAGCGATCCTCCTGCCTTAACCTCCAGGGTAGCTGGAATTTCAGGCATGTACCAATGTATCTGGTGCTTGGTTTTTTTGTTTTTGTCTTTTTGGTTTTGAAAATTAAACCCAGGGTCCTACACATATTAAGCGCATCTCTACCACTGAGCCACACCACCAGCCCTCCAATTTAAATAACCTTATCATCACTTGAACATAATAAACATGTTACATCTAATTATAAACCCAAATGATGTTCACAGGATGACTACCCAATGAGGGTTTTCAATAAATTGACAATTCTCAATATGCCAGCCCTTTTTTCTTTTCTTTTGCAGTGCTGGGTATTGAACCTAGGGGCTCCTTACCTCTGAGCCACATCCTTAGCCCTTTTTATTTTTTTGAGACGGGGTCTCATTAAATTGCCCGGGCTGGCTTTGAACTTGTGATCCTTCTGCCTCAGCCTCCTGAGTAGCATGTTGATCTACCATGTCTTATTTTTTATGCTGTCTCTCAAGGATCAGCACAGGGTTCTTGGGTCGCACTGCAAAGCTTGGCCCACACAAGATGCTCAGCCCCTGTTCCACTGTCTGCGCTGCATCACCCACTGCCTGTGGTGTCTCCTAGGTGTGGTTTTTGCACTCTGGCCTTGTCTCCTGGATGCTGGGATGTTATTCCTTCACCTGTGATGTCACGTTGACACCACCCAGCGGAGCCAGCTGTACCTGTCTTGCACATATGCTCATGAACTGACACATCTCTGCCAGTATGTGACGTGTACCCCTGGGCTGGGAGCTGGTAGGCTCTGCTGGGACAGGGTTAGCATATTTTCAGTYGTATGAAAGATAACTAAGTCCTGCTAGGCAGAAAGAAGACTATTATTAGAGATTAAGTACAGGTAAGGAGACGTGTGGATGCCCAYGGGACAGGGACTAATGGTGTTTGTTTTGTTGATGTAGTGGGGATCCGTTGCAGAGGTGCCTCACCACTCAGCTACACAGCCCTTTAAATTTCATTTCTGAGACAGGGTCTGACCAAGTAGCCCAGGCTGGCCTTGAACTTGGAATTCTCCTGCCTCAGCCTCCAGTCACTGGCATTACAGGTGCGTGCCCCTGCACCCAGCTGGATGGTCAAGTGTGTGTCAGATTGGCTGGGCCGCAGTTCCAATTGTTTGAAAAGCTGATTGAATCAGACAGGGGCTGAGCTAAGGCTTCCCTGAAGACAGCCACCTGCGGTCAGTGCCTCAGCTTGCCTCCTGCCTGAGCACCAGTGCCTCAAGGAAGCTCAGGAAGGAATTTCCTGGGATGTACACACACAGCTGGGCCGCATTCCAGTTTCCCAGTATGGGACAGTGAATCACAGAGGTCTCCATGGTCTCAGGGTTTCCTTACAAACATGGGGTCCAGGAGAGGAGGCTGTTGGGTGGTGACATGGGAACCAGGGCACTGAAGGTGTTGGGTGGGGCAGTTCCCCGACCAGGCTGAGTCACCGGGCCTTTCACACCCCAACAGCTGGGCCTAGGATGGTAGCTCTGCCCGGCACTTGCCCAGGCCTGACGGCCATGGCTCAGCTTCCCCMGAAGCTGTTCAGCTGTTGGGGACAGGGGAAGCCTGGTGGGGCACTCCCTCCCTCCCTCAAGCCCCCTCCCCAGGGCCTGCTTCCCGGAGCTGGGTTCTTCCCCAGGACTGATGATTCACACCACTGGGGCCTTTTCACTTCTCCTTTGGGCTAAAAATACAGGGACCCAGGCATCCAGCTGGGCCAGGCTGCCCCACAGATTGCACAATGGCCCACATTGGTGTTCCGCTGACGCAGGGCCTGGGGACAGGCGGGGGCCTGGGTTGCTCCCCAGTCAGGCATGTTGAGGTTAGGGCCTCAGCTCCTCCACTTCTTCTTTCCTGGGCTCAAGACCTTGCAGGCTGGGCTAATGTGGGAGATGCTGAGGGTCTCTGGGCTTGGCTGTGGTCCTAGAAATGATGCCTCAGCACCAAGAAACCCAAGGTTTCTGGCTCTCTTCATAGACAAGAGTGCCAGCTAGGAGTTGGGGGCAGCCAAAGAGGACTGACTATTAGAGACAGGGATACAGAAAACCACAGGGGCAGAGACTGAAATGGGGCAGAGAAAGATGAGAGAGAGAGAGAAACAACACAGGAGACAGGAGCAGCTGGAGAAAGAAACACAAAYCACCCCCAACTGACCAAACTCCAGGGAAGACTGAGAGGGAAGGGCCCAGCCAGGAGGCCACACCCACGCCACACCTACACCAGGCACGGGTAGGGCCCCTGGAACAAAGGTCATCAAGAAGGCTCAGTTCAAAGTCCATACTAGCCCAGGGAGGGGAGGAGGAGAGCAGTAGAGGCGSGGTTGGGACCTGTTGTCTCCCTGCTAGCCTCTGCTGCCCCCTGCTGGCTCCAATCCTCAATGCTCAGGAAAGAAGGAGAAATGAGACACAACTCGGGCTTTTTGGTTTAGGCCAATCTTCATTCTTTTGTCTGCCCCCCTTATCCCCCAATGCCAGCCCCGCTCCCTGCCATGCCATCTCAGAGGGTGCCCCCGGGGCCAGTAGGTGGTGCAGGCGTCTTGCCTGTGACCTTGTTGGCACAGTCCAGCAGGGCCGTATGAATGTCCTTGGCACAGGCAATCTGGGCTTTGATGACGGCCAGGTACTGTGGGTAGGGCAGGCTGTCAGGCTGCACGGCATCTGGCTTGGTGGCTGTGGGCACCAGGGTCGGAGAGTGCTTGGCACTGTCACAGCTCTGTGAAAGGCACTCATGCGCCAGGCGCTGTGGACARGAAGCAGGGGTGCAGCATCAGCCTCACTCTAGGTACACAGGGTTCCCCACCCCCTGGGGGCCAGCCTGGGGCAGCCTGCTAGATCTTTGGAGTCGTAAGGTCTTGGGAGTCAGAGCTGGGCCCTGCCAATCACTGGCTGGGTGACCTGAAGCAAGCGACTGCTCTTCTCTGAGACTCAGTTTCCTCCTCTGGAAAATGGGTTTAAGGACTACCTCTTTTGACCTCATAGGTAAGAACAGTAAGAACAGGTGTGTTGAGGCCCAGATCCTAGTGCATCATTTCTTTTCTTTTATGGAGGATTGAACCCAGGGGCAATTAACTACTGGRCTGCATCCCCAGCCTGTTTTTTATATTTTATTAGAGACAGGGTCTCACTGAGTTGCTTAGGTCCTTGCTAAGTTGCTGAGGCTGGCTTTGAACTTCAGCCTCCGAGCTGCTGGGATTACAGGTGTGCATCAGCACCCGGCCCTGGTACATCATTTGAAGKACTAACTGATCATTGTCAGTTATTATGACTGTTACTGCCTTGACCCCAAGCTTAGCATTGGCAGTGGCTTCTCTGATGGCACCTGCCACGGATTTTTCTCCTACTTGTTTGGTCACTCCTACCAGGTACTTCTCACTCTATTCAAGACTGGAGCAGCAGTTTCCAGATTCCTTCTCCTTCCACTCCCCATGATCCCTCGGCTGTCATCCCCACACACTGGGCTCCCACCTCTTCAATGAYGGTGCCCACACCTCTGTCCTTAGCTTCCCTTGTATTCCTAGGCCCGTTCCCTCATATTCTCCCATCAAACTGTTGTTTCTCATGGGTCCCCATCTCAGATGATTCTACCATTCCTACCAGASCCCTGGGCCCCATCCTGGAAAGTCCTCCCTTAATAGCCCATCTGTCCTGTGGCCTGACAAAACTTAGAAGCTCCCAAGTTCTTCCTCAAGAAGTGAGGAACCAGGACACTGGGAACATGGGAACCAGGGCACTGAAGGTGTTGGGTGGGGCAGTTCATCAGCCCCACTCTGGTTGCATCCTTGGGCCTCACTGAACTGCAAGTTCTTTACTCAGCTTCTCTTACAAARTCTTCTTTTGGCAGCCAGAGGCATATTATATTACTAAAAAGCAAACTGTTCCATGTTCTCCCTTACCTGAAATCCTCCATGGCTCCCCAGTGCCCTCAGCATTAYATTCAAAATTCCACTCCTACTACACCTGAGCCAGACTGAATCTCCTAATAATCTCCTGAAATTTAAAGCATAAGTTGTTCCTGGCTGGAACACAGTGTTGCCCCAACCGCTTCTCAATTCTGCCTTGCCTTTAACACCTGGTCCAGAATGATAATACTATAGGAAACACTTGCCATATACCTAGTATGATGGGTATGTACTTTCCATGCATGATCTTGCTGAGTTTTCTCTGAAACTCTATTTTCCAAGGGAGGAACCCAAGGCTCACAGGAAGTTGGTCTGATTAGAGGCCTGCCTCTCACCTCTTGCACTCTCTGTTCTTTGTTCTGATCTCTCTCYGATGTGCTCTCCTCAGCAGCCTTCCCTGAACCACTCTCTCTCTACTCTCAACCCATGCTTCCACATCCCCTCAGCTGCCTTCCATCCTAGCCCTGACACCACTGCCTGTGCTCCATTTCACAGCCCCAACCACTGTGGCCTGGACTTCTCCCATCACAGCCTTGACCACTGTGAGTTGTCCCTGTTTGGGAGTACACTTGTCACTGGACTAAACTGCAAGTTCTGTGAGAGCAAGGATCAGGGCAACAGTGTGTCTCCAGCATCAGATGAAGCCCAGGTCTGTCCCAGAGGAGGTACCCAGTGAATGAGCCGACTGATGGTTCATGAAGATCCCAGGGAYTGAGGTAAGATTGTGGGCACCCAATGCCCAGAAGACTCCTTACCAGACACAGCTCCAGCTGGTCACAGAGTGCGTAGAACTCCTCCAGGCACTTGTCAAAGCGCTGTATGGGTCCATCGCTGCTCTTTCTAGCATCCGGGAGAAAAGAGGGGAATGGATTTCCAATCTCTGGGGCACCAGGGTCTACACAACTAAGTGTTCATCAGGAAACCAGGGACAGGCCCAGGGGATCTGAAGCAGAGCTGGAAATTAGGAGGGTGGTGGGGGGAGGGATTTCTAAGGCTGGGGTGGAGAGAGGATATCCTGGGGAAAGAGGGCTGCACTTACTGTCCATTGTCAATGTTAGTGTTCTGAATCAAGTTCTGCGCTGCAACCTTCATCAAGGTCTAGTTTAAAAAGAAAAAAAGATGCGGGAGATAGAGAAACAGAGAGGATAATTTGGTTAGATCTACGCTCTTCCTTGAGATAACACCCAGCCTTAGTCCTCCTCTTCATTTGGCATCTCCCTCCTGACACTCCAGAATAATGCTGATTTCCATTCCTATATCAGACACTGGTATTTTCCCGGAAGCCTGCCCTCGCCTGGGTTTTCACCAACAAYCTCCATTATCCACCAATCACGGGCAGAAGCTACGAATAGACACTCCTCACGACCAGAGGCGGGCTTTCCCCTTACACCCCTTCCCACTCAAGTTCTGGCCAATCCCAGCCTCAACATCTACATTGATCCCGCCCCACAATGTCACTCCACARAGCTTCGCTTTGGCATCACAAAAATGAACGTCTTTCTCCTCTTCCCTACTATGATCTCTCCACAACTAAACCACCCCTCAGCACGCCCTCTTGGAATCAGACTGCCAAATCCTGCATTCTCCTCACAGCTCCCGATCAATCACCTGTAGACTCTCCTTCAGCTGCGGGATGAGCATCTTATAGCGCTGCACAGGATCGAAGTCCTGTTGTTGTTGCTGCAGGAGACCGCTTTGGGCAGGTCCCACCAGTTGTGCTGGCGGTTGCGGCTGCTGCTGGGAACCTGGGCCACCAGTCGAACCCGGACCCGATACACCACCAGCTGAGGAAGCCACTGAAGCCTGCTGCTGGGGCGCAGCCATCTTCCTTGCTTAGAGCGCCGGAAGTGCGTCACAAGTGCTGCTCCCGGGTCTCAGTGTCTCCATCGGTAGGCCCCGTTTACTTGTTAACTCCGCCTTCAGACAGTTTAACCAATGAAAGGAGAGGAGATGCCCCCACCTTCCATCAGTCTCTAATCCGACGTCCAGATAGGGATTTCTTYTCACCAATCACAAGACGTTTTCCCTCCATGGCTCCACCCTTTACCCAGAAACTCTCCAATCCGTGCGTGCTTCTGATCCGGACTCTATTTCCCGGAAGGCTTTGCGGCCTGAGGCGACCTGTCGGGTCCTTARCGTCTTGGCGGCAGTTGGTGGAGCCGGAGCTGTGAGTCCGCCTGTGGCGCTGCCTGAGCGTTCTCCTGAGTCTTGCTCAAAGCTCTTCCCTCCAGCCTCTCACCCTAACCCTCCCCGTCAGAGAACGGCGTCATCCTGAGTCCTGCCTCAGGTCCGGCGTCCACGGAGGTCGGCACGCCCCTCCGCGTCTGCCCGCGGCGCAGCAAGGACCCCATTCKGGCCGCCGTCGCCTCGTCGCTATGGCGCCCACCATCCAGACCCAGGCCCAGCGGGAGGATGGCCACAGGTAGGCGCCACGCTGCCTGGCTCTACCCCTCTCCTCTACGTCTCCCAGGGCTTCAGCAAGGCGGGGGTCCGGTGAGGGTATCTGCCCACGTCGTCATTGGCTCCCCAGGGCTGCCCGCGAGGTCACTGAGCGCTTACCTTGGATCGAGGGGGCGGGCTCCTCCTGGGACTCGGGTGTTACCCCTTCCTCTCCTGCCCCCGAATTAAGGAATTACTCCTCTGGAGGCGCTCCGGCCGATTGAGCGCTTAGATCACTCCAGTCAAGCGTTTGGAAACCATTCTTCCCAAAACGATTGAGTACGTGTTTTTTTTTTATTAAAACACTGGATTGAAAGCTTTTGGGGACACTCCGCGAAACGGAATCGAATGCTTGCCCCCACCCCAAAATGGGTGCACCTCTTAGAAGCTTGGAGAAACCTCTTTCACTCCTCTATCAACCCCTGTTCACTCCTTCGTTCTATCAGTCTCTTTTTTCTCCACCAGGCCCAATTCCCACCGGACTCTACCTGAGAGGTGAGCCCCACTGTGATTTCCCCGGAGAAGTGGGCGTGGGAGCTGGAAGCGAAAGTGGGGCAGCATGGGCCAAATTTTGAGTTCTTGTTTTCCTAGATCTGGAGTGGTCTGCCGAGTCAAGTATTGCAATAGTCTCCCTGACATCCCCTTCGACCCCAAATTCATCACATACCCTTTTGACCAGAACAGGTGAGATTAAGATCAGGGATGGGTAAACTACTCAGAAATGAGGAGCCTAAGGTTGCTTAGGCTCTTTACTTCTCTTTCTCTGGGTCTACTCGGTACCTACCCAGCCACAGTAACAGGTGCTCAGTAAATACTCATGGATGGAGCAAGTAGCATCTGAGATTCTCCCCAGAGCTTAGCTTCTGGGAAGCAGGGAAGAGAGGGATAAAGCTGGAATCAGAAATCCACAGTGGACATGTTTCCTTACCCAGGTTTGTCCAGTATAAAGCGACCTCCTTAGAGAAACAGCACAAACATGACCTCCTGACTGAGCCAGATCTGGGAGTCACCATTGACCTCATCAACCCGGACACCTACCGCATTGATCCAAATGGTTCGTGGGAAGACAGGGTTGGTCTACTCTAGACCATAAGAGGCCAGGCCTGGGCCTCCTTCATGGTGGTCCTGCCTCTTCCCTCTCTAGTTCTCCTGGATCCAGCTGATGAGAAGCTTTTAGAAGAGGAGATTCAGGCTCCCACCAGCTCTAAGAGGTGAGCAGGTGCCAACTAGGTACTGGGTCTGGCTGGGATAGGCTCTGCAAACAGAGGAAGTCCTGCATGGGGTTCTAAAGTACCTCATCTCCTACCCCAGATCCCAGCAACATGCAAAAGTAGTGCCATGGATGCGGAAGACAGAGTACATTTCCACTGAATTCAACCGTTATGGCATCTCTAATGAGAAACCTGAGGTCAAGTAAGTTGAGATGGGAAGGATGGGGGAATGGGGAGATTTCTCGCTAAGTCCAGTGGTCCCTAAAGTTTATTGTCTTCACTCCTAGGATTGGGGTTTCTGTGAAGCAGCAGTTCACCGAGGAAGAAATATATAAAGATAGGGATAGCCAGATCACGGCCATCGAGAAGACTTTTGAGGATGCCCAGAAATCAGTAATTGAAGGACTAGGGTGGGGAGAAGCAGAAGTGTGACTTGAGCACTTCCCCTCACTCTGTTTTTGCTCCCACTAGATCTCCCAGCATTACAGCAAGCCTCGAGTGACACCAGTGGAGGTCATGCCTGTATTCCCAGACTTTAAGGTCAGGCCTAGGGCAAGAGGTCGAGGGATGGTCTCCCATGTCTGTCTGTACCAGACTAACCCAGTGCCCTCCATTCCCCCAGATGTGGATCAACCCATGTGCTCAAGTAATCTTTGACTCAGATCCAGCTCCCAAGGACACAAGTGGTGCAGCTGCATTGGAGATGATGTCTCAGGCCATGATCAGGTCAGTGGTTCTGCTGTTTACCTTCACCTGCCCCTCCTCGTCTCTCTGCCTCACTTTAACATCCCTCTTCTCCCAACTAGGGGCATGATGGATGAGGAAGGGAACCAGTTTGTGGCCTATTTCTTACCTGTGGAAGAGACACTGAAGAAACGAAAACGGGACCAGGAGGAGGAGATGGACTATGCACCAGATGATGTGTGCGTAGGTTGGGGTTAGGTTTTAGGAATTGAGATGTCTCCTTTTCTCCTTGTCAGGATGAAAATGGGGCTGACTCTGTTCTGTCATTCTCAGGTATGACTACAAGATTGCTCGGGAGTACAACTGGAATGTGAAGAACAAGGCTAGCAAGGGCTACGAGGAAAACTACTTCTTCATCTTTCGAGAGGGTGATGGAGTTTACTACAATGAGTTGGAGACCAGGTACTCAACACACTCCCAATTAGCCTGGTTCTGTGCTTTTCAAGACACTGAGGTATACAAGAACCATCCTGGAGGTCATTTGTGCCTTTGGATTTATGCATTGTAAACAAGAGCAGCAGGAACCTGCTCACCTACATGGGCTGGACCTGGCTCTAATACAAGAAGTCAGAAAGAAAATGTTTAAGTAATGCAGGAAACCTTTAGAGCTTTTGTGGATGGTGGACAGCCAACTTTCCTGATACACTGTTAATATAAAACTTCATGTGAAAGAACATAGCCATGGCATAAGGAATATATAACACTGGCATATATATTTTAATAACCATTTTCAAAAGGTGACCCCCAAACTCTCCACTAAGGGCTTAGAGTTAACTGCTGTGTCAGGGCCCTAGGTTGGGAAAGCATGACCTGAATTTTTGTTTAAAGGAGGGATCAGAAATACTGATCCAAAAGCCAGGCAGGAAATGTGAAAGACTGAACAGAGTGCTGTGGGCTCAGGGTGACCTGGAACTCTTGGCAGCTTCTAAGGGACATCTGTCATCTTTTGTCACTCTGTTGGGGTAAGAAAGGTCTAGTAGGGCCCTAAATGCCTGTATTTTTTTTGTTTTTGTTTTTTTTTTGGTACTTGTGAATGGACAGAAGGCCTTAATTTTATTTGTTTTTATGTGGTGTTGAGGATCAAACCCAGTGCCTCACGTATGCTAGGCAAGCACTCTGACACTGCACTACAACCCCATTACTAAATGCCTGTTTTTCAAAAGCCAGAAATCCATCTTCTTCTGGTTTTAATTCTGGGGTGCAGTCTTAACACAGAGCCATGTCCCAGCCCTGCTTCTCCTGGTTTTTAAGTATTGGTAATTAATACACACACACACACACAGAGTATACCACATATACACATATCACAAGTAGTTTATCCTTCCACTGGTGTGCTCTGGGCCAAGCACTGACTGGGAACTAAGTCAGACCAGACCCCTCTGGGGTCTTAAAACACATCTTCTATACTTGTGCAATTTGCCCACTGCAGGGTCCGCCTTAGTAAGCGCCGGGCCAAGGCTGGAGTTCAGTCAGGCACCAATGCCCTGCTTGTGGTCAAACACCGGGACATGAACGAGAAGGAATTAGAAGCCCAGGTAATAAGCACCACTGGACCAGGGCACCCTTAGGGAGGGCAGTGGTGGGTGAGAAGGATAGAAGAAGCCTGACAGAACACCCTTCTTCCCAATCCTGCCGCTTCTAGGAGGCACGGAAGGCCCAGCTGGAAAACCACGAACCAGAGGAGGAAGAGGAGGAGGAGATGGAGGCAGAAGAGAAAGAAGCTGGGGGCTCAGGTAAAGAGGAACAGGCCAGACCCTGGGAACCTCAAGAGGGCAGGAAATTGGGTCTCACTTCTTTCTGCTCCCTCACAGATGAGGAGAACGAGAAGGGCAGCAGCAGTGAGAAGGAGGGCAGCGAGGACGAGCGCTCAGGCAGTGAGAGTGAACGAGAGGAAGGTGACAGGGAGGAGGCAAGTGACAAGAGTGGAAGTGGTGAGGACGAGAGCAGTGAGGATGAAGCTCGGGCTGCTCGGGACAAAGAGGAGATCTTTGGTAGTGATGCGGATTCGGAGGATGATGCGGACTCTGATGATGAGGACAGAGGACGGGCCCGAGGTGGCAGTGACAATGATTCGGACAGTGGCAGTGATGGGGGTGGCCAGAGGAGCCGGAGCCGGAGCCGGAGCGCCAGCCCCTTCCCCAGTGGCAGTGAACACTCAGCCCAGGAAGATGGCAGTGAAGCTGCAGCTTCTGATTCCAGTGAGGCTGACAGCGATAGTGACTGAGCCCCAGACCCTTCAGAGGGGAAGCACAGACACATGCTCAGAGCAAGGCACTTTTCTAGTGGTCTATTTGTGAGCCCTTCACTTTATTTGTCACCCCCCTCCCCCCCACACCAACCTTTGCTGTTAATAAAGTCAACTTCTCTTGATGTATCTTCCCAGCGCCTCTGGTCTCATTTCAACCCCCCCTCCCCATGCTCAAAAACCTCAGATTGAGGCACAGAAACAAGAACCACTAGGTTTCCCATGAAATGGAACATAACAAAGGTCAGAATCTTTTTGTTTTTGTGTTTTTTTTTTTTTTTTTCCAAAATAAGCCCAGACCATTAAACAAGTGAACTCCAACAAATAAGTCTTCTCCAACAGCGAGAAAAACTATACAGTTACTCAAAGCTGATTCTGCCAGTGGGGCTGGGGACAGAAGTAGGTAGGAAGGGTGAAATCATGGAAGGAGGCCTGGGGGCCAGGGGGTGGAGGGGAGCAGAAGGTCAGGGTCCTGCCCATCAGAGTGGGGCCGCCTGCGTCCTACACACTCTGCTGTCAGGTGGGGAGGGGGCAGCTCTCGCCTCCCTTTGTGTGTGAGAGGGTGTCCCTCACCACCTCCCAGTGCCAGGCAGGGTCAGCTCACCCTGACGGGGAGTGAACAAGACAGAACCAGCCAGGGAGAGGTGAGGGTCCCATGAGAGGGACACCCTGCTGATTCCAAAACGAGGTGGCCCATCCATCCCACTTCCTGTGGCTAGTGGGAAGGGGGCTGGAGAAGCCCTGGGAGCTTGAGGGGAATGAGCAAAGGCACAGAAACATGGAGGGGCCGGGGTGGGGACTTGCATAGGTTGATGAGTGTGCAAGAGGTACATAAATAAACCTGACACCCCACCCAGCCCGGCACTGGGAGAGGAGGTGGGAACCTGGAAGCAGGTCCCCAGGGCCACTCTACCCCCTGGCTTCTTCCCCCTCCCTGGGCTCAGAGCSGAGGGAGGTGCACAGACCAGGAGGGTAGAGGCAAGAAGGTCTGGGGAATGGGCTGATAGTGCACAGGGAGGGTGGTGGTTTTCAACTTTTTTTTCTTTTTTTGGTTTTTTGTTTTTTTCCCAACATTTTGTATCTTTAATAACATACACAATGGTTACCAGCCATATTCATAACAAAAGTTATTCATAAAATGTATCTAAAAATAACATTTTTTTCCTTTTTCGGTGTGAAAAGCTTGAGAACGTCCCAGTGAGAGGGGTAAGTTTAGGGGGAAGAGGAGGTTGGAATAGGGGGACCCTGGCTTCCCCACAGTATGAACCCCCAAATCCCCTCCCTCCACCTGAGCCCCAGCACAAGCCCTCATCAGGAACAGGGACCAGAGGGTCTATGTGACTCCGGGGCTGGGATGCACCTCTGGATTATGATATAGTGTTGCACTTACATGAGGTCATGACATAATGGGGAATGGGAAAGGCTGAAAGAAAAGTGGGGAGCGGCGGGGAAAATAAACAAAAACCAAACAATCCCCTTTCCCGTATTCCTAACCCCCAAGTCTTTACCAACCAGACCTGGGAGTAAAGAAGGGTGTGTACTRTTGGGGGAAGGGGACGTTAAGGCAACAGACTTCCTGACCTCACCGCTGCCCTGGCTGCCCACCGTCAACCTCTGCATCAGAGAAGCCAGGGCTAGGGGAAAAAGGGAAGGGTGAGGGGGGCTGGAGGAGTGGGCTCTGCCCTCTCCACTCAAAGTTCAGGCTCCCCCACCACTATCTTGGCTCAAAGAGAGGCCTGGGGATTCTAAAAATGACAGGGAATGATCGGAGAGAAAAACCGTTAAGAACTATATAAATATGTATCTTAAATAGGCCTAAGAAATTAATTGTAGAGAACCTCTGATAAACAGGGCAAGAGGAGGTGAGAGAGGAATGTGGTTCCTGTCCTTAGGGAATGATGGGAATGGGGAAGGGCAGACATGGAGAGGGGAGGAAGAGCACTTCCTCTCCTCACTCTTTTTCTCCCCAGCTCCTCTCCAGTAACATCATGGGGAGGGGGTTGTCAACCCTGCTCATTGGTCCCTCAATATCAAAGGTTTCTGAGCAGGCTCCACAAGGTAGCGGTCAGTTTGTCTGGGAGTCTGCTCCCTTGGGGAGGGACAGGTGATCAGCAGTCTGGAAGAGGCAGGGTTGGGACAGGCCCAGGTGGGGGATATGGGAGGGAAGATGGGGCAGGCACTCTGACCAGTCCCTGCCCCTTTGATCCTGGCAGCCCCCTCAGTCCCCTGGCCTCAGCAGAGATCCCTCAACGGGCCTGGGAGTGAGCAAGGCATGTGCCAATGTTAAACAAAAGTTAAAAGGGTGAGAGAGTAGAAAAATATTAGAATGTATAGCTGAGCCAGCCCACCCTCTTGCTGCCGCAGAGAAGCCCGTTGGGGGTTGGCCCCCGCCCGCCGCCCGGGGAGCCTATGGGTGCGCTGGGCTGTGGGTCCTGTCAGATGGTGGAGGTTTTGTCTGTCCCATCTGTGACAAGAAAGGGAGGAAGGGAGGAAGATCAGGAGCTGGCAGGAGGCCCAAGGAAAGGCACTCAAGTAGCCTGTAATCCCAGGCAGGCCCTCCCTGGAGTCTGGCCTCCCCTTGGGACCCTTAGGATGACTCTGAGTTGCTCAGTTTCAGAGATGGAGACGCTGGGTAGGTGGGAGCTGGGTCAGGGAAAGAGGAAATGCTCACCACCCAAGGCGTGTTCTGTCATGCTCAGACACAGAGACTCCAGGGTGGGATTGATCTCCAGGTCAGGCCCAGGGACCGGGCAGTCTGGGAGGGAGAGAGGAGAACAGAGGTGGTGAGAACTGACTGGGTGGATACGAGAGCCAGGGCGACAAGAGACAGAAACAAGCTCCCAAAGCATGCATTCATATGGATGAAGGACATGACTGGAAGGAGGGAGGAAAGGGTGAGAGGCCTGGGGTTGTCAGAGAGTAGGCAGGAGACACAACAGTAAGGACAAAGACTTGGCAATGCAAAAAGCTGGACTTGCAGACAGAGGAAGTGACTGAAGCTGAGGGAGCTTTCCTGGAGGCCACACACAGGCTGTGACTATTTTGGACATAGATGACACCATGCCTTGGTCAGTCTGGGCACCTGCCTTAGACACTGGGCAGACCCATGCTCCCCGACTAGTGACTTGTTCTCTGTATCTGGTGCAAAGGCTAAATTAAAACTCTTCCCTKTTCCCTCTCGGACTTACTCCTTTGGATCGGTGGGTGGGGCAAAAGACTTTCTCCTTTGGATAGGAGCAGGTGGGAAAAAATAGGACAGCAGCCATGGAGCTTGTCCTCAAACTGCTTCCCCAAAAGGTCCTCATATTATAGCATGTGGGCAGTAGCCAGGTCCCCGGGCAGACCTGACCCCACGCTACACTACTTAAAATTTTCTCTCAGCTCTTTGCTGCCACTGGGAGGAAGGCTGAGCTTCTGACCTGAATTCAGAGAGCTGGCTCCCATCTCCAGCCTCACCTTTCATCCCCAGCCATCCAAACCCTGAGCTCAGGTCCTAGCAGACTTGTCACACAGGCTGACACTGATGTAGAAAAAGATGGGAATAATATTAGAGCTCTAATATTATTTCTACTAGAGTAGAACCTAATATGCAGGTGGGAGAATTAAATTTCACAGTGCAGAAAAGCTTTCTGACAGAGCCTTGCACACAGYATACTAGGAAAAGTTCTTATTTTTTGCTCCTATAATTTATCCAACCACTCACTTAACATCATTTACAGATGGCTTCCATGTGCCAAGCCCTGTGCTAGAGTGAAACTATGGGGGTTCCCTGGCTCCACAGGTGGCAGTTTGTAGCATCTCATAAATTAATAATYCCCCTGTCATCCCAGCAGCTTGGGAGGCTGAGAAGGAGGATTGCAAGTTCAAAGCCAGCCTCAGCAAAAGTGAGGCACTAAGCAACTCAGTGAGACCCTGTCTCTAAATAAAATACAAAATAGGGCTGAGGATGTGGCTCAGTAGCCCCCACCTGACTTCAATCCCTGATACCTGCACCACCACCACCCCCCACCGCCCAAAAAGAATCCTGATTGTGGTGGTGAATGCTTGTGATTAAAAAAAAAAAAAAAAAAAAAAAATTCCTATTGATGCCACAGTTAGGTCACCTATAACTCTTAAGATCTCTTCAGGGCATCATCTGTCTGCAGATGACCCACCAGTGCTCAGCAGTGGGCCAGCCAAGGTGGAAGAGCCAACTCCACCATGTTCAACAAGGAAGGGACTGTGACTGTGTGTTCCTGATCTCTCTCTTGCCCACTTGACCCTCCTCCTGACCTTGCATCTCCAGGCTGGTCTCTGAACACAGGTAAAAGCCCTTTTACTCCAAATTCCCTTTATAGGTAGAACCTCATCTAAGAGGTGGGGCCTACTGGCTCTTTTGTGGTCACTGGCCTCTGAAAGAATGCAAGGGGCTGATTGGCTAATACAGGACTCCCTTCCACAGCAACCTCACACTTTAACCTCTCATCCCTCAACCTCTTCCAAAATGAGTGTTTAATGATCCTATGAAGAGACAATAATGATAATAAGATCATTGCACAAGATATGGAGATAGAGTGTTGGTAAGTGGTAAGAAAAAAAGGTAGAGGTAGAGAAAGAGAGAAAGCAGGACTTCAGAGATAAAACTGAAACAGAGGGGGGAAAAAAAAAAAAAACCTCTCCCACAACAGTAGAGGAGATGGGTACYGAGAAATGGGAAGTATGGAGAGAAATGCTCACGCAGTCGGGAAGGAATAAGGAATGTAAGATCCAGAGAAGAGAAAGGCCAGGCGAGTTGGTTGGCAAGGTATAGTCTCAAAGGTGGGGTACCTCACCTGGAGGGAACATGAGAATGGCCTGGGGTGACGAGTGGACTGGGAGCGAGTGGGTTCGCTGCACGGAGCTGCGGCTCTGACTGGGCATGCTGTTGCTGCCTCCAGGATTGGCAAACCACAGGTTCTGCATAGGACATGGGAGGATAACAGAGAGGGTGAGTGAAGAAAAGCCCAGGAGTGAGCTGATAAAGAAGGACCCTCCCMTTTAGTGGGGCCCAGATGTAGAGTCAGATACATCCCAGACACCACCACTCCAACCCCAGTAGTACCAGGGCTTCCACTTCCTGCAGACTCACCTGTCGGCCCTGGCCCCCGAGGCTGGGGCTGGTGAGGGCATGTCGAGGGGAGACACCCCCAATGCCCGAGGGGCTCAGGAGACCCATCCTGCCAGGTGGAAGGGCCCGGGGAGGCATTGGGAACTGCCGCTGGGTCCGTCGGGCCACCCCCATCCCCACAGAGCCAGCTATGGGGAGTGAGTTGGAGCCGAATGCCCAGCTGTGAGAGAAAAGGCAAGCTGTTAGCTTAGGTGAATGGGGCCCATTGGTCCACCCCTCCTTCAACTTTCTCCACAGCCCCAATGAGTCGGATACAACAAGACTTGCTCTGAGCAAGGATTCCCTGACAACATCTCTGCATCACACATTTCTATCTCCTCCTGACACAAGGATACTCCAAGAATAGAGACTGGGAGTATGAAAAAGTTTCCTCACTGTTCACTCAGAACAATTATCTAACCTTCGTTTCAAGAGAGAGATTTCTGCTATTTGGTACAAGAATGGACTTCAGGGCTAGAGCTGTAGCTCAGTGGTGAAGTGCTTGCCTGTCACATGTGGGGCACTGGGTTTGATCCTCAGCACCACGGACTTTAGAGCCCACTGCACACAGGTGAAGAGGAAAATGTAGAGGGAAGGGGCCTGCTCTCTAGACACATGCTATTTTTTGCCAGTTCAGTATCTTAATGTGTTTGGTGATGCTACAAGATTGAATTCAGGGACCTCTGCATGCAAGGCAAGTGCTCTACCATTGAGCTATGCCCCCAGCCTTTGTATCCTATTCTGGTAACAACACCCTTGTATTCTTTCCTTTTCTTTCTTTCTTTTCTTTTCTTTTTTTTTGGTACTAGAAATTAAACCCAGGGGTGCTGTAGCACTGAACTACATCCCCACCTCTCCACCCCCAACTTTTAAAAAATGTTGAGACAATGTCTAAGTTATTTAGGGACTCAGCTGCTTTGCTGAGACTGGCCTTTACTTGCAATCCTCCTGCCTCAGTCTCTCAAGTCACTGGGATTACAGGAATGTGCTACAGMACCTGGCTCATTCTGATTTTCTTCTAAGAAAGTCCTTCACTGGGTGCTTTGAATAAATACAACCAGGATCCCAGCCCAGACACATTTACCCCTCTAGGCACCTATCTGCCAATCACAAGAGCCTMGGGAGAGCACCGCCTACCCCTTCTGCTGCCGGTAGTTCTGCATGTCCAGCGCAGCTTTGCGCGGGAATGTCCGGAGGAGCTTCAGCACTTGCTGTTTCCAGGACAACAGTCGCTTCTTCTGTGTCTCTGTGAAAGCCTAAAATTGGGGGAGGGAGGGTTGCTTCTTTGATACCTGCTCTCCATCCACTGCTTAGGTGTTCATGCTTGCCTGCTCTGTGCCAGGAGATGCTAGACAGAGGTGGCTGTGCTCCCAGAGCTCACAGCTTAGCTGAGGGAAACACACATGCAGTGATAGCTGTGCAGTCACCCCTCCCAGTGAGGGCGTWGAGCAGGAGCCACCAGAAACCCAACTCTGCAGGAGCAGTCGGTTGAGGGTGTCTTTGAGTCCCCATACAAATGTCAAAACAGAACTGAGGGGTTAGCAGTAGGGAAGGGACTGCTTCTGATAAGACTCTTAAGAAAGAAGGCTCTGCAGCCAACACTGGTAAGCTGAGGGCGTGGGGAAGGGGTGGATGCTAGAATGTTGGAATGCTGTCCTCTGAGAGAGGAAGCAGCTTTTCTCTTCCTGGGAGCCCTATAGAGGGTATTACCTCATGAGTCAGGCACTTTTCGATGAGCTGGAGGTAACTGGTGATGTTCTCCTCGTCTGGTCGGGACACCAGCAGCTGGGTGCACACTGCAGGACATAGGAAAGAACAGGAGGTTAGCTTTCAGCCTCCCCAGTCCCAGCCAGCTGGTGCAGGAAGAGGAACARGAGACGTGGGCTGGATAAGTCTCCACTCAGATTACCTGGGTTATTGTGAAAAATATATAATTAAGCACCTATCACAGTGCCTGGCACAAGACAGATAGGAAGTCAATAATACCTCATTTTAAATCTTCTATTTATCTTATTGGCAATGCTGGGGATTGAACTCAGGGCCTCACACATGCTAAACAAACACTCTACCACTATRTTACATCCCCAGCCCTTTCTGTACTTTGAGACAAGGTCTTGCTAAGTTGCCAAGACTGGCCTTGAACTTTTGATCCTCCTGCCTTAGCCTCTGAAATAGCTGGGATTATAGGTGTGTGCCACAACACTCATTTTTAATTTTTACACAGCAATAATCTTGTTAATATGAGCATTTTTAGCCTGAGAAACTGAAGGCCCCAAAAGATTGAGTCACTTGGCCCAAGACCACAGAGCTCTAAAGATCTGGATCCAAGTAGGAGGTCTGTTATGCCATGCTATCTCAGGAAAGGTTAAATCTACCATGAGATTCATTGTCCCCATCCCCTAGATGTTTGTTCACCCTTTACTGCAGGCAGTCTCCTCTGACATGTTGTCCCGCTATCAGCTCAAGCTTGCCCAAGAGTAGGGAGCTTGCCACCCTTGACTGTGGGAAGCTGATACTTTCCACAATATTAGACCCCCCACAGGGCTTTAAAATGTTCTGTTCCCAGCGCTTAACTTGAATTTGACTCCTAATGGTTGATTGAGTTCACCTGGCTTTCTGCCTCAGGAGTTTTGGCTTGTTGTTGTTTTTGGTACCAGGGACTGAACCTAGAGGTGCCTAACCACTGAGCCACATCTCCAGCCCATTTTTTGAGACAGGGTCTTGCTAAGTTGCTTAGGGCCTCACTAAATTGCTGAGGTTGGCTTTGAACTTGCAACCTTCCTACCTCAGCCTCCCAAGCCACTGGGCATGCACCACAATGCCTGGCTTGCCTCAGGATTTCGAGCTAGGACTTAGCTAGCCTTACCTTTGCCCATCACCCGTGTAAACTGGCTGGGGATGTCTCCGTCAGCAACAGGAGCCGGCGCTGGCTCGCTGCCATCAGTGGGAGCTGGAGCTGGTGGAGGGGGATACTTCTCTGCAGCCGGAGGGTCCTTGGCCTCAGTGCCCTTGTCCGTGCCAGGGTGGGCTAGGGGAGGCTCAGCACCTGGCAGCAGCGGCTCCCCCCGGCCCCCATCCTTGGCAGTAGGGGTGGTAGTGGTAGCAGCCACAGTAGCCTGAAGGACACTGTAGGCCTTGATGGGGGTGATGATGATCTGCTGCAGCTCCTGTAGAGCATTCCGCAGATTCCCACCTTCTAGCACATCCTGCATGGGAAGGACACAGTTGGGGTCACATATAGACCTCACAGTGAGACAAAAAGAATGTTTACACAAGTGGGGCCAGATGGCTTGGAAAAGAAAGGGTGGCACTCTGGATTCGTAGAGAGGGCAGGTAAGGGCACTGCCAACACACATGCAGACAGGTACATACTTGTATGCACATGTTCCCTCTTCCCCTTGGCGTGGAGGCCCACAGCACTCAGGAGAAGGGAGTTTAAAGCTGGGGTCTCAGGGATCCAGCCAGGAGGAACCAGAGATTCAGACCAAGACACAGGGTGGCGGGGACAGAGGGCAAGGAGCAGGGAAAGGGAGAAAAGGAAGGCAAACAGGCTGATGCAGGAGAGTGAGTGGGTAAGAATCAAATGGAAAGAGAACACACACAGACACTCTCCTTCACCAGACAGACAGATCAGTCAGAAACGGAAAAACAAAAGGAAAAAGAAGGGGCGGCATTAGAAGAGACATTCTGGAATCACAAACCAGGGCCAACAGGGAGGGAAGCCTCTTAACAACTAGCAAGGGAGCCCTTTGATGCCAACTTGCATATGGACCCTAGAATCTGGCTCCACAAGGTTGAGGCCACTGGAGGTGAGATCTTAAGGAGAGGGGAGGCCCAGAGGAGAGATGGCTGGGCAGCTGGCAGCAAGGCGGACCCAAAGCCTTTGGTCTCCTGGTCCCATTAGGTAGCCACTGGACTTGGAGATTGGGATATCAGGTTCTCACCTTCTCTAGGGACTTGAGGACACTCTGCCTCTCTCGCAGCTTCTGGATACTCAGGGCTATCTTGTGGCGGGCACCTTTGGTGACATTCTACAATAAGGACAGAGAGAGAGACAAGAAGCTGGAAATGGGAGAGTGATGTAATTGGCAGTGTCCCAAAAGGACCAAAGAGACAGGAGGCTTGGGTTGTAGGGGTAGTGCCAAATGGTACTGCCCCTGATACCTCCATGAAGTTCCCTCGGCTTCACCTGTGACTCCAGGTGCTGCTCAGTCAGTGTCATCATCTCCTCGTAGCTCATCTGTGAGAAGAGGGCTGCATATTTGTGCAAACGGAGGCTCTTGAGCCACGAGGGCACATCTGTAGGAAAGGAGGGACAGAGGTAGGTCAGGAATTTGGTGACCAGACAGGGGGAGGCTTTAGGGAGGGACCGGGCAGAAACTATAGGCAGTCTTAAGAGCTCCAGAAAACTAGGAGGGGGTGGGATCATAAGCTACTTCTTCATCTACTCAGCAGGGACCTTTCAGGTGCCTCCCCTGGGTAGGACACCTGACCCTTTAAGATGTCAGGTGACCTCAATGACTTCTCTCAACATCTTCCTGGAACCTCTATCAGTTGCCTGTCCTGGTCGCCTTATCAGATAAAACTGTCGAGGGTAGGGGCTCCTTCCCCATCACACCAGGGCCTACGAGGGTGGGGGTGGGGGGTCTCAGCTCTGTCTTGAACCCAAAGTGTAGGGACTATCTACTTCTCACAGACCTGTCCCCTCTTCAGGGAAGGCAGGTGACAGGCAGAGCAGTTTTCTGTCCTCTAAGCTCAGTGGAAGCCCTAGAGCGGGGCCTGGTTYGCCCTCCTTGTTGTACCTTTCATACCACTGCCGTCCTCCTGGAAAGTGTTCCGGCTGGAGCCCTGCTCCTCCGTCTGCTCACTGCCAGAGGAGGCCACGCTGCTCTGGGGCGAGAGGGGTGCGTGGTCGGGCGTGGTGAAAGCAGCCCGAGCACCWAGCTCCTCTGGACTTGGCCACTCACCAGGGGCCTGAGGGCTYGTAGGGATGAGTGACATGGAGCGCTTCAGTGGGCTAGGGTGGATTTGGCAGGGGAGACCTGGCCAGAGAGGGAGAAGCAAGAGGTCAGGCTTGGGTATCTGACTACAAGAGACCATGTCCTCAATGCTGTGATGGCACTCAGAGCCACAATTCTCCAAGGGGAAGGGACTGTGGGGTCCAAGAGATATCCACCTACCAGATACTGAGCATTCCTTCACCCGAAGCCCAACTCCCTAGCAAATGGTCAGCCTCTTCTCTTGACTATTCCCACTCCCTGCTAGGCTAATCCAGCTGTAGCATATGTGGATGGAAATTACTGCCACAGCCTCCTCACTGTTTTTTTTTTTCCTTTTTTTGGTACTGGGGATTGAACCCAGGGGCATTTCACCACTGAGCTACATCCCCAGCCCTTTTTAGTTTTTTGAGACAAGGTTTTATTGAGTTGCTTAGGGCTTGTGGAATTGCTGAGGGCTGGCCTCAGAAACTTGCAGTCCTTCTGCCTCAGCCACCTGAGTTGCTAGGATTATAGGCGTGTGCCACCCAACCTGTCTTGCCTTCATTCTTGCCTCTTACAGTCTCCTTTCCCTCCAAGTAGCCACACTAATCCTTGAAAAAGTACAAATTCTAATCAAGATGGTTCCCTGCTTAACTTCATGTGGGTCCTTCATGGTGAAAACAAAATTCAAGCTCTTCCACATACCTAGAAGGCCCCTGCTCACCTCTGACCTCTCATCTCCCACACTCAGCCCTTGGTTCAAGTCTTTGTAGCTTTCACCTCTCCTGGATCCCCATTTGCCCCTGGAATACTCAAAGTCTGTTGTAAGGGATTCTCGTAAGTGTGTGTACACACACTTGCGCACAYGCATGCGTGTGGTGTTGGGAATGCCAGGCCTCACACACACATGCTAGGCAAGCACTCTACAGAGCCACATCCTTAGCCCTGAACTTGCTCTTTCTTCTTGTGCTTTTAATCTCAGCTGTTGGCTCCCTCAAGTCTCATCTCAAGTGTCACCTCCTTTGGCCTACACTGAACATTCAATCTTAAATCACTGCCTCCCCAACCCTTAACCCCAATTACTGCCTTATCTTCTTGCAGCACCTATCACTACCTGAAATGATCTTATCTAATTATTTGTTTACTTGCTTATTACCGAATCCCTTGGCTGGAATAGAAGATTTGTGATAGCAGGGACTTGTCCTCTCTTAAACAGCATTCTATCCTTAGCAATTATAGTGGGGGCGTAGCCCAGAAGAGTTGCTTCATTAGTACTTAGAGATGGATAAAGTATGTGCTCTGTGTCATGTCACTGGGCCTCACATCTCTGTTTTTTCTCTGTATTGAGCCCAAACTGGCCACCCATGAGGTCTGGTGGCTGAAGGTAAACCCAGGGGCCTCTTCCATAGGACATTTCACACTCTCTTGTCCATCCTATTTCTGAGGTAAACAGGGTGATCCAACATTTTTTTTTGTTTGTTTTGTTACTGGGCACTGAAGTCAGGGTGCTCTACTACTGAGCTATATCCAGAGCCTTTTTCATTTTGAGACAGGGTCTCAGTAAGTTCCCAGTCTAGCCTTGAACTTGTGATCCTCCTGCCTAAGCCTCCCAAGTTGCTGGGATTACAAGCCTGCATCATGGCACCCAGCTACCACTTGACTTTTTTTGTACTGGGGATTGAACCCAGGAGTGCTTAACCATGAGCCACATTCCCAGCACTTTTAAACTATTTTATTTAGAGAGAGGGTCTTACTAAATTGGGGCCTAAGGTGTTGAGACTGATTTGAACTTGCAATCCTCCTGCTTCCACCTCCTGAGATGCTGGGATTACAGGTGTGTACCACCACACCAGTGATTTTTAACTATTCCCAAAACAGGAGGGGATCCCACAGGCTCTCCTACATATCTATGTGCCTTTTCCCACTGCCCAGCCACTGCTGTCCCACCTTCTCCACCAGCTGCTTTTGTCTCCACACTTCATACAAGCAGCCTTTCTGTAGCTGCCTGGTGATGATGTTTGCCGGTCTCCTCACTAGCCAGCCCCAGGCAATGGACTGGGGACTTGTGGATGACAGGGACCGGCCCAATCATTTCTGCAAGCCCAGGATTAGGCACAGGGCATGACACACGGAAGTGCTTCAATAGTTTCATAAAGGATAAAAGGATGTTAAGGGTACCAAGATGCCCTTGACACAGGGAATTCTGAAGCCCCTCCCAAGTTAGCTGAGAGCAAAAGAAAAGTAAACAAAGCTAAAAAGCCTGGGTAGGTAAGGACATCAAGGCCCAGGAAGCTCATGCCCTTTGCTCCAGTTCCCACAGGGAGTTGAGAGGCAGAGACACAGAGCCTGGGCCTTGCTTTCAATGGAAAGGCTGGGGTTCTTGCCAGTGTTCCACTGACACCCAGTCCAGGAAGGAGGGCCAACCYGGTTGTGCAGGACCCAAAGCACCTTCTGTCGCTATCTGTGACAATACTGATGCTCATAGCCAGGAAGTCACCTGAGGGAGTGGGCAGTTCACGGGCTAACCCATAAGGCCAACTCAACCTGTCCCTGACAAAGACCTCTGGTATCTTCTACTTAGGGTTTCCTCCAAGTCTCCGGACTCTTTTGGCCTTGGTTTCTGCTCCACTTGGGACTTCTAAAGAAAAATGGCACACTTTGGGCCTGGGAGGTTGGAGAATCTCAATAGAGGCTTTTGTGGCTGTCTTGGTGTCTCTAGCCTCCTCCTTCCTCTCTTCTCAGCCAAGAAGGGGGCAGGCGAGGCTGAGAGGGCAGGAAATTATTCTGATTGGCATGACATGTAGTTCCTGAGGAACCCTGCTTGGCCCTGCATTGGGGTGGAGGCTGGCCACAGTATGAGAATTATAAAAAAACAGGAATGCTGGCCAGAGATCCGGGGCCTCGTACTCTCCAAGAAACCCTGGTTTGTCCTTGGCAGCGCCCCAAACCCACCCTGCCTGCCCTCCCAAGCCAATCCTTGCTTCCTACTCAAAAATATTTTAATGGTTTCCTGTTTCCTGCAACTGCCTGAAATCCAAAAGCTTGGTCTTGTCCCCCTGCAAGACTGTGGCCCTAAGACCTAAGTTCAAATCTTGGCTCTGCCACTTTTGAACTGTGTGCTCTTMGGCAGATCACTTCATTAACCCCTCTGCCTCCATTCCCACACAAAGTCCTTAGCACAATGATAGGCACATGGTAAACATAAGTATCTACTACTGCTATTACTCATGTAAATTAATCACAGCCATACTTGCCATATGCTGTCCCCTCTGTCACTCCTGTGCCTTTGATTCACGCTGTGCCCTCTGTGTGGAATGCCCAATTCTTTTCTCTTCTGGTTCAAGCCCCTATCCCAACACTAGTCTCTAAAGTTGCTGGGGAGGTGGGGATGGAGATGTAGCTCAGTGGTTGAGCATTTGCCTAACATGTGCAAGGTCCTAGGTTTGACCCTCAGTACTGCCAAAGGGAAAAACAGAACCAAAAACCTGCACARATGTGGAGAGGTTACCCTGCATGGGTGACCCTTCCCTATGAGGTCTGAGCATATATCTCCAAGAGGGTCACTTCTAGGTGAAGGAAACATAAGACAGTAATTCAAAGTATAAGCTCTGGGGCCAGATTGCCTACATTTAATTTCTAGGTATACCATCTTGGGCAAGTGACTTCACTGACTCAGCCAAGTTTCTGAGTTTACAGATCTACAGTTCTTAGAACAGCTCCAAGCAGTTGTGTATGTTTGCGTGTATATATATATATATGTATATGTATATGTATGTGTGTGTGTGTGTGTGTATAAACTGTATATAAAACTGTATTTATTTTTTGCAGTGGGGGGATTGAACCCAGAGGTGCTTTACTACCAGTCCTTTTTATTTTAAGACAAAGTCTTGCAAAGTTGCTTACAGCCTTGCTAAGTTGCTGAGGCTGGCTTGCAATTTACCATCTTTCTGCCTCAGCCTCACAAGTCTCTGGGATTACAGGTATAAATTACTGTGCCTGGCAGCGTCCAACATTTTTAAACCAGAATTATCATTATTAATATATTCTCCCAATAGGGATTCAGGAACTATGGTGCTCTAAGACTGAAAAAGGAGGCCCAAGGCATCTCAGGTTGCCAGAATTCCCTGGAAATGCCCTCCTATCTTTCTATCTTCCCAGGTTGTTACGAGTTCCTAGGCAGGCTGACCAAGACATCGACATTAACTGTGGGGAAAATAGCCTGGGCRGGGGGTAACTGATGTGCACATGGTAGCAGAGAACTGGACACTCCTGGGATTACAGGCTTCATCCCCCCTCTACTGACACTTGTGACATTCCRCAGCAGCTCTAACCAGTGCCTGCTGAAAGGGACTGGCCACCCTGAGGTTGAGTCATGGCCCCTTGTCTCAACTAGGGTCATGCCATGTCACCATGACTTGGAAAAGCCACCCTACCCTCTCTTACCCTGTTCATTTCGACTAACATTTCAAAAAGGCACTGCCACACCACCTCCCCCTGCTCACCCAGCCTCCAGGGCGCTTATTAAGAGAGCCTTTCAAGCCCACTTAGTTGGCAGGACAGCACAGTGGTCAGAGGCCGGCTCTGGCATCAGAATGGTTGGGTGTGAACCTTGGCCAGTTCCACCACTTGTTCTATGTGCGACCTTGAATATGTGACTTTGCTTTTTTGAGTTCCAGTGTCCTCATCTGTTGAATGGGACTAATGATATGACTGTCATGAGAATTAAATGAGATCATATCTGAAACAGTGTTTATTCAAAGAATGCCCAGGAAATAAAATTGACCAAATTATATTATGTGCATGTACCAGTATGTCACAATGAATCCCAGTACTGTGTAAAATTATGCACACACACGCAAAAAAGAGTACCTAGCACAGTCACCTAGTAATACCTAGCATGACTAATGCCTTGCAGCAGGAATATGTCTCTTTTCGTGTGGTACTGGGGTGAACCCGGGGTGCTCTCCCGGTCACCACTTTTTTATTTTATTTTTTGCAGTCCTAGGGATTGAATCCAGAGGCACTATACCATTGAGTCCCATCTGCAGCCCTTTTTATTTTTTGAGACATGGTCTCATTAAGTTGCTGAGGCTGGCCTCAAATTTGTGATTTTGCCTCAGCCTCCCAAGTCACTGTGATTACAGGCACATGCCATCATGCCTGACTCCTATCTCCCACATTTTAAACTTTGAGATAGGGTCTTTCTAAGTTGCTGAAATGGCCTTGAGATTGCAATCCTCCTACCTTGGTGTCCCAAATAGCTGAGATTACAGGCATGTGCCACCACAAGTGGGAGTTATATCTTACATTAACAAACAAACAGGGGCTGGGGATGTGGCTCAAGCGGTAGCGCACTCGCCTGGCATGCATGCAGCCCTGGGTTTGATCCTCAGCACCACATACAAACAAAGATGTTATGTCCGCAGAAAACTAAAAAATAAATATAAAAAAAAAGATAAAAACAACAACAACAACAAAAAAAAAAACCACAAAAGATATCTAAGAAGAAAGACTGTAAGCAAGACTGTAAGCTAAAGGTAGCTCACTGCAGCCAGTGAGCTAGAAGGGACCTCAGATGATGGTGTCTACTCCTCTAACAGGGGGTCACAAATTCAAGGTGGCAGAGGCCAGGTACCAGAAATGCTCAAAGATGGTTTGGGTCAGTCAGAGGTAGGCTGCAGCACATGTGCAGAGTTTAAAGCAGGTGGCTGATATTCAGTTTCCTCTCCTATTGTTGCTGCTGCTGAGAATACAGGCCTTGAGCTGCCAGATCTTTGGACTTCTCAAGAGAAGTTGGAAATTCGATTTTAAGGGAAAAAAATCTAATATCACTAAATTAATAAATTAAGCAAATTTTATTTTTTTTACTGAGGACTGGGGATTGAACCCAAGGTGCTTTACCTCTGAGCTACATTCCCATATTTTTTTTTCTTTTTTAAAAATTCTAAAACAGGGTCTTGCTAAATTGCTGAGTCTGGCTTTGAACCTATGATCTTCCTGCCTCAGCCTCCCAAGTCACTGGGATTGTAGGCATGAACCACCATGTCCAGCCACACTAAAATTTACGTAAAAACACAAAACCAAAGTGTGGATTTAATAATATGTCTGTAGGTCCAATTTGGCTCTGGGAGTGCAAGTTTCCAACCTTTGTACTATTTAAAAAAGTTGAGGCCCAGAGAAGTTATGGGAGTTTCCCAAGGCCACACAATGAGTAAAAAAAACCCAGTCTGGCCATTTTCAGACATGGCCTCCTGCAATACCCCCTCACCTGTATTTGCATTGCTCCCAATACTGTTGATGGCTGGCGGCACCGAGGTGGATGGGTGGAAGGGCACATGTCCATTTTCCCGGGGTGGCTTGTCCTGCCAGCCTGGCCCTGCCTCTCCAGGGCCCAGCTCTGCAGTCCCCCCCCACTCATCTGAGCCCTGGCGTGAGTGGTAGGTGGGTTCTGGCCGGGTACGGAAGCCACTAGCCAGCCGCTCTTCCAGGTGGCTCAGCCAGAGGGCCAGCGCATTGCGGTCCTCCAGTGTGGTGGCTGGGTGGATGAGGGCATAGGAGAGCAGCTGGCGGCTCTCCTCGATGAAGGCATTGCTCTCAATCGAGTAAGCCAGCACTTTCTGCAGTAGCCTCATGTACTCCGACTTGGCCTCCGTGTTGCCTGGTTGAAGCAGAGGCAGGTGGGACAGCAGGAGGGACACCACCTTCTCTTTGGACTCCTGCTGCCACTGGCTGACGATGGCTACAGAGGGGATAAGAGGAAATGTCAGGAGAGTCTGGGTGGAAACAACTACAAACCCAAGAATCCACTGTCTATTCCCTCATTTCTAATCTCCTCCTCTCCTTTTTCTGTTCATGCTTGACCTTGTCTCTCATGTAACTGAGTCACACACACGTACATACAGATTGACTGATCTTCCTAAACTTCACTAGGATGTCATGTTCCTCACCAGGAGTTTTACAATGGCAACCTTCACCAAGACTTACAGCCCAATATCACCTTCATTTTCCAGGGCACTCCCCAGCTATTCCTCCAGATGAAGACTCAGCTAGAACATATTCCCATCTTCTCTGGGGCTCTCTAAACCCTACATTCATCCAACCTTCCACAATCAGGCTGAGATTTGAGGCTTTAGCCTGTAGCAACCTCTTTCCTTCTGCCCAAATTCTATCTCTTCTTCTTCTCTTTAATGACACAAATAAATAAATAAAACAATATGGAGCACTTCAAGAATTTGGGATTGCTCTTGAGGGGGTCTCAGACTAATTTTCTGTATTGTTCCAATTTTAGCTTAGTTCTGCTAAAGTGAGCACCAATGTGATGTCTTTTAGAATGCCTAAACCTATCCTCCTCCAGGAAGACTCCCCTGGYTCCTCTGTGCCAGGGTCATCTTGACCTCTCCTTTCATTTCATATCTGAGAACCTGAGTAATGAGCCAAGGTTTCCCCATCACCCAGAAGGGAGCACCCTAAGAATAAGGCCCCAGGCTGGCAGCATAAAGGAGACTTTGGGAAGGACCCACTGCAGGTCTGACTGTCCCCCTCAAAAACCTTGTTACTCTGTGATTAGCTAAACAAAGTAGAGGATGGAGATGACGCTGAAAAAGGACAAAGAACACCAATACTTGGAAAGAAGAGATAGTGTTCAAGGATCAAGGCCAACTCACTCTTGGGCAACTGGGTTCACACCTGTAGCCAAGATGATGATTCACAGGATGATGAGAAATGTGCTAATGGTAAGATCCTGGAAGGAGGCAAAGAAGCTGGCGCTAAGTGGACAAAACTAAGACCCCCAAAGAGTGGATAATGAAAATGAACAGGTAGAGATATGACTCATGTCACTTCACTGCTCATCAACCATGTAACTTTGGGAAATAGCAGCCCCTTTCCTGAGCTCTGCTTTGTCTTTAGAGGGGAACTCAGAATTATTCCTGCCTGGCATGGCTGCTAGGAATTGAGACCACAGCATAAACTAAGTCCTTGGGAAATATTTGCTGTTTTTTTTTTTTTTTACTACTGTTATAATTTGATTCTGGAATGTCCCCCTAAAGGTTCATGGGTTAAAGGCTTGGTACCCAATGCAGCAATGTCCAGAGGTAAGGTTCCTGGGAAATGATTAAAGTCATGAGAATTCTGACCTCTGATGGGGTTCACAGCGGAGGGCATTATTAGGTGGTGGTGGGAACTTCAGGAGGTGGGGTCTAGTTGGAAAACGTAGATCACTGGGAACTAATCTGGAAGGGTATATCTTGCCCCTGGTCCTTCTCTCTCTCTCACTTCCCCTCTACCATGGGCAAGCAGTTTTACTCTACCATGTCCTCTCTGCCATGATACTCTGCCTCATCACAAGCCCATAGCATAATGGAACCAGATAACCATAAACTAAAACCTCTCAAACTGTGAGCCAAAATAAATATTTTTTTCCTCTAAGTTGATTTCTCAGGCACCTTGTCACAGCATCAGAAAAACTAGCACAATTAGTATTATGGGTAGTATACTTTACAATGGCTCCTTCCTTTTAATACATGGATTGTAAAAGCACAATCCAATCTTCTATCTTAGGAAACAGAGAAGCTGGGAATAGGCACGCATAAGGAAACCTAGGCATCCAAGGGTCTTTCAATGMAAGTTTCTTAAGCCTTAAGATTCCAAGGACTGCCAGGTGCTTTGGCTTACGCCTGTAATCCCAGCAATTCAGGAGTCTGAGGCAGGAGGATTGCAAGTTCAAGGCCAGTCTTGTCATCTTAGTAAGACCCTGTTTCAAAATAAAAAATATAAAGGGCTGGAGAAGTAGCTCAGTGGTTAAAGCATTCCTGGGTTCAATACCTAGTATGGAGAGAAGAAAAAATCCAAAGGCTTCTTCTTTCTTCTGCCCATAATGCAGGATATATACTTGGTTCCTTGCATAGAAATTTGAAAAGTGTCGCTTTTGCAACCCTCTTTCTTAATGAATTGCTTAGGAATCTGTGGCCTGGAATTCCCATTAACTTCTAATTCTATTTAAATCTGTAACCCCAGGAAAATGAAACACTCAATTCCCAATTCCTGGCTATGTGTAAATCGTGCATTTTCTTGGCCTGGCTCTCCTCTTTGCTCCAAGCTTCCTAGAGAAACCCTGTTAAAGTACCCAGAAATTCATCCATTCATTCATTTAAAGTCAACTCATGCTATGGCCATAACACTACCCCAAATTAATAACAGAATTAATAATACTACCGCCATTAAAAATAACAACGGATAACATTTATTGAACATTTGCCATGTTCCAGCCACTATATGAACAGTATGACTGGCTTTCATTCCCTCCTTTGTCCTGTTTTAGCATTCCCATCTTCCAGATAAATAACATTTGGGAAGGTGAATTCACTTCCCCCAAGTGACAAAGCTAGTGAGTGACAATACCATGATCTGAACCCAGGTCTATCTGCCTCTGGAATTGAGAAGAATTTTCACTACAACCTATTTCTCTGATGCAGACTCTCCCTTCTTCCCCTTCCTTTCCCTGGCTGGCTTTCCAGATTCCCATCAGTAACTGCCACTCAAAGTTAGGAAATTGCATCCCCTTTATCTTTATTTGAACCAGCTCCCCATGACCACAAGACTTTCTCCCCAGGCTACCTCCACATTTAAAGATCATTCCAAGATGGGACAGGCATTCCTAAAGTTAGGGAATCTAGTCTTTCCTGCTCTCCCACCTCCATCTGGCACTCACTGGGTCACATGATAATGAACTTCTCTAGCACCCACCCTTCCCTGATATAGTCCCTAGCTTTGGGTTCTTATTTATTTATTTTGGTACTAAGGATTGAACCCAGGGGTGCTTAACCACTGAGCAACATCCCCAGCTCTTTATTTAGAGACAGGGTCTCACTGAGTTGCTAAGTGCCTTGCTAAGCTGCCGAGGCTGGTTTTGAACTCATGATTCTCCTGCCTCAGCCTCCTGAACCACTGAGATTACATGTGTGTACCACTGYGCCTGGCAAGTTTTCAGTTCTGGATAAGAAATATAGTGCATAATAATAGGGACAAAGTAAAGAATTTGCATCCCAATCGCAGCATGCAGCAATGTTGCCTGGACAATATGCTTCCTCTCTGTAAAACAGGGATGACAGGACTACTGAGAAGATTCAGGGAGGTGATGCATATAAAGCATGTGAAAGAGTCTGCCCATAGTAAACTCTCAGGATGTGGCTCAGTGATGGGTGTTTTTCTCCCTTCTCCACCAGCACAGTCCCTTCATCCCTACCCTGACATTCTCAATTGCTGTTGTTTGGGCCTTACAGGGTAGCCAGAGGCATCTGGGACAGAGAGGCCTTGTCTAGTCCCTCCCCCACCCCAGAGTACTGCCAGGACCCCAGGGCTAAGGGACACAGCTTCTCCTCTGGTACTGCCAGGGGACGTGACAGAACAGCCCTAAGGGTTGGGTTCAATGAAAGACCTTGTTCTACTGCCCAGAAAGGGGAGAGTGGTTTTGGACGAATGGAAGCTGACCCTGAGGAAATGTGTGTTCATGTGTCTGAGTGGTGGTGGTGGTGGTAAGGGCGGGCCTCCCATGACTGGGAAGCATCAATGAGTACTGGAACTGGTCCAAGGAATTTGTGCAGCCTCAGGCCCCTTGGGGTGAGCCCAGCTGAGGCTGCAGATGATGGGTGGGGATGGAACCTCTAGTTTCCTGCCCAGATCAGAAAAGTCTGGCCCCAAGTACAGGCACATCAGGGGCCCAATGAATACCTGCCCAATTGAACCCAGATGGTCCGGGGAAGGTATGATATTTCCATGTATATAATGTCCCCTAGCTAGGCTCCCCCAACCTCATGTTACCTAGCAGAGCATACTGAATGAAAATACATATTCAAAAGGCAAACGTGTCTGGGTTCAAAATCCAGCTATAACTCCAAGACCTAAGTCAACACCACTGTGAGCCAGTCCTTCTACCTCTCTGAGCCTTGGTCTCTTTTGTCAAATGGGGTTTATAAAAGCCCTTGTTGCCAGGCGCAGTAGCGTTATGCCAATAGCTGTAATCCCAGCAGTTTAGGAGGCTGAGTTAGAGGATCGAAAGTTCAAGGCCAGCCTCAGCAAAAGCAAGGCGTTAAGCAACTCAGTGAGACTCTGTCTCCAAATAAAATACAAAACAGGGCTGGGCATGAGGCTTAGAGGTCAAGTGCCCCTAAGTTCAATCCCCGGTACTGCCTACCCCTCAAAAAAGCCCTTGTCACTTGGTTATAAAACGAAGGAAACAATCATGCAAAGCACCTGGCATGTGTGATGCTCAGTACATTTGACTATTACTGTCACTGCTCCTGGTTGAAGATCTAGAACCATGCCGTTTCAGGGCTGGGGGAGAAGTTCACTTAGGAAAGCACATCTGGGACTCCCCCTTAAGATTCCCAATAGGGATGGGGAATTTCATACAGTTATTTACCAAAAACAGACAGATCTCTGGTTCCTTGGAGCTAGAGGCACAACAAGCAGTGATGAAATTCTGGAGGTGGGTGGATGGGGGAGGGGGCTGGGGAATGCCATGACGCCAAGAGCTGCTTCTCACCAAGCTGCAAATCTGGACTCCACAGGCATGGAGAGAGCGAGGGAGGCTGTGTATGAGTGCCTGCCTTGGCACGGTGGCCACGGGGCAGGTCTGGCCAGGTGACCAGAGCTAAGTAGGCCATAACCCTGGGTCCTGGCAAATCACAGGAGCCAAATATATCTTTTGAGAACTGCCGTAAGAGCCAAACCATTTTTATG